ATCACCACAGTAACATGCCTATCAAATTTCATTAACTTCCATCCACACATACAAAAGTTATCCTGCTCACAAGAAAAATTAACAAAATGCCCCCTGTAGTCACAACGAAACCCCCCACGAAGCTCAGTAACGAACTTAACCTTGGTCCCGACAATAGTTAGCACCACACCAAGAATTATAATCAACATTTTACAAATACTTGAGTTATTTTGCTAACAAGCCACAAACACAAAAGGTGCACTAACGTGACGCACGGACCCCCACGAAGCCGAAACTTGTACTTGAATTTGGCCTCAACAATGGTAATCTGCCTGCCAAAAATCATGGACGTCAAATCATGCCTTCCAGAGTTATATCGCAAAATCCGCAGTTCCCCACACTCCGGCGAGACAATTTCATAGTCCTTCTGACGAAGACAATTACATATAGGACCATGTTATGTCTCATATATGGGTGGGGATGTAGTTAAAGGGATACAGGCAGGTGTCATAAATCACTGCAATATTTTCTGTATTTTACTTTCTAGGGATGAGGAGATGCACAATTTTGTGGCTAATCTGATGAGTGCCGTCAGTACCAGTGATACCTATTACATTGGTCTGAGTGACCAGGTTTTGGAGCTGGCTTTCTATTGGTCAGACGGCTCGTACCTGAGGTCCTACAATAGGTGGGGGCCCGGTTACCCTGGCGGCTGGGATCGGAACAACAACTGTGTCTTCTACTACTACGCCAACGGTGCCTGGTGGTGGAGAGTAGGAGGAGGGTCCATGTACTGCCTGGTCGAGCGCTGTGAGTATTACAGATGTCCTTTACATACATGTATGCTTCATACATGTATCTTTCAACATAATATAACATAATGTTCGGATATCTATATTTAAGTGATGTTAATATGGTTTCTTACATCATAGTTGATTATGTCGCTAGTGTGTTTGATGTAAGCATACATTTTCATAGAATACATTATACTCTGTGATGACAGAGTGAGGAGAATATACAGTGATATCAGACAGTTGTGATAGGGAGGTCATTTTCAACATTTCGTCAGCATATTAAGTGACATCAATGAAGTACGTCGTGACTTTTTGCAATTAATTTTTGCTATGCACCAATTAATCAAAATTTCACTCATAATCATGCCCAGAAACTAAGCATTTCCCCTTCTTTTGTAGACTTCTTCTGTCCAGAAGGCTGGCACCAGTGGGGCGGCAGCTGTTACTACGCCTTCTCCTTCTCCTACTCGTGGGACGCGACATGGACGTTCCTCAACTCTGCCGAGGGTTATTACTCCAGCCTCGCCATGATCAACAGCCAGGAGGAGAACGACTATGTCTACAACATGATAGGGGACGGCTACCGAATCGGTGCCTATAGACGGGTAAGTTAAGATATACTTTTGTTTGAAAGGCATGGTCTACAATTAGTACAAATGGTGTGAGTTGTGATGAAATTTATTCACCATTGTGAATTTTTTGCTGATTCTGTAAATACTCAGACTTCCAGAAGATTATCATACAATGTTGAAAACTCTCACAGGCTCTGGAAGACCATTTTGACCACCAATTTGACCTTCCTGTCAATCTTTGGTTACACCATTGCCCCATCCCCACCTCTCACTCAAACACACCAAAAACAAAACATTCAGTACATGGAAGCAATTACATTATGATGCAATCATGTACTTCTGCTTGTGGTACAGAACGGCTACTGGTACTGGAGGTGGTGGTACCGCTGGTACCGGTATTACTGGTGGTACTACATCTACTGGTTCAACTGGCAGAATGGAGATCCCAACAATGGTGGCGACTGTGCCGTGTTTAGTCCAGGAGGTAATTAATTTGATCTTCATCGTATATTACATTTACTATACATGTAATGCTTTTATAAGTAAAGTCTGCTGTAAGAAATTGTATATCAACTTTTGCTTTCTGTTAGATGTAAGCCAATTTGGTTTATATTGTTGTTGAATTGTGCATCAGCACCGATTTTGCACTTACTCTACATCATCTCGATTTCATCCATTCAGCGTTCCACGTTTATTAAGAAATTTGTGATGTTTCATTCTAAGGTTTCTGGGAAGATGATGACTGTTCCGGTGGGCGACCTTTCTGTGCTGAGATGGGTAAGAATTAGAATAAGTGCGCAATTATTTTGGTTTAACTTATATGCTAGCTGATTAGACGCCAAGGTCATGAATTGGCCCTCCGTTCTGTGTAGAAATTTAACCAAACCAAAATGGGCAATCAGATGCTTCTTTGTATACAGTGTATGTCATACAGACAGTGCTGTGTTCTGTGTGCTTTAAAGCTCCTTGGTAAGTTTAGAAACATGCTGCTTATTGTCAGACAAAAGGAATTGAACCTTATGTAAGTGGATGTGAAATTCTCAGACGTGCATTGTTTCTGACAACAGATATCAATGAGTGTAATTCCAACCCATGCGGTCCGAACTCTCGGTGCATCAACCATCCCAACGGCTACACGTGTGAGTGCATCCCGGGCTGTATGGGAGAAGGCTGCAGAGGTAAGGATCTATGATCTCAACACAACTTTTACAGTTACAATTGTACATGTTTTAACCATTTGGTAGTTCATCCCAATCTTACCAATTTGCTGTTAGCTTTCAAACTTAAGTTAGCATTTACATGTAGAACTTGACGATTATCCAATGTGTAATGACACAGATGATGGAATAACAGACCTAAGGATATAACATACCATAGAAATGTTTCTTCGTAGGAGTAAAAATCAATATTAATCGATGTTTAGGTTATTTCTCTTGCATGTCCAGCCCATAGATAAATCAACAAGAACGTGAATTGAAGTCACCTAAACTAAAGGAGAAAATAATTATAAACCACAAAAAATCCTGTGAAGAAAATTTGTAGACTTAGAAGCTAGCACATAAATCAAAACAGCACATAAACTTAAAGAAATATACAATGTATAATACAATATTGTGTATATAATGTATATTGCGTCATACTCATAGATTACCAATGTCTAAAACTGTTTTCGTCCCTTGTTCTTAGCATCTGGAAACTGCTGGGTTGTGACCGGCTCTCACTACTTCCAGTTTGACGGGAGCAGGGTGGACTTCCTGGGCTCCTGTAGCTACGTCCTGGCCCGCTACACCGGCAGCTCCGGACAGCTCACCAGGTTCACGGTCACGTCAGGGAACGAGTACAGGGACGGGGCACCAGACGTGCCGTACCTGAGCTGGGTCTCCCTGACCGGGGGGGAGACCACCATCACTCTGCGCAGAAACGGCGTGGCAGAGGTGAGAATTCCATGGGCTGCTTTTACTTCCCGTAGCGTGGTGGCACCATGCATGTACCTGGAGTTGGTAACCTAATGGACTGTACACCGTTACCACATGTCATTAACAACTCAGGAACAACGACATATATACATATGAGTCTGGCACAGATACGCAAACATCTTAATATTAATTTTGCCATTAATAGGAAACAAGGTTGAACAGCTTTGTGTACATATCATCATATAGTGGACAATCAAAACTGCACAATGTTCTTTCACATTGTTGTCTACATATTCATGTACTAGGGAAAGACAAGAGGGGTGGCAAGGTTTTATAGTGTGGAAGAATACCTTATAAAGAGTACTTGAAGTGTGTAAAAAGAACCATGGATAGCCAGTTTCTGCGTAATGCCCATACAGTTGAATGGCCGACCAAGGAACACTCCATTCTACGTTGGGCGCATGATGGCGGTGCGGCGGTCGGGATACTTCGTCAGTATCACCACCAGCTTCGGTTTACTTGTGGAGTACGACGGAGATCGGTAGGCATCTTCATTACATCATTACTGTGTGGACAAGTCATCACAGTACACTATTGTAGAGGAGGCAATAGTTAAATTCTGATGCTGTTTGACAGTGATTAATTCATGAAATGAGGTGATGTCACAGAAATATTATCAAAACCGTGTAGTAAGTTTGAGAATTCAGAAGTTACAAAAAATTTTCAACAACAGGTTTGAAACCAGCTTTTTTTAAAACATCTGAATGGATTAAGGACTCGAAGCTGGTATAGATTTGGTGTTTAGTGCTTAATTACGTATACAATTATATGGAACTTCGCTTCGCGCACACACCACTTAACTCTGTGTGACACACCTTTGTATGTTTGTACAGTGCTGTTCACATTGAACTGAGCAGCGGTTACGGCAACGCCGTGGAAGGTATGTGTGGGGACTTCAGTGGAGACTCTGACGGTGACTTGGAGAGACCAGACGGGACCGATGCCGGTAGCGCGACGGTGTTCGGAGACAGCTGGCGCTCAGATGGGTGAGGCTATTTGGTATCATGCTACCAACATCCCGACATGTCATGTCTCTTTGAGTCTTTGTTTTGTTGGGCAAAGCAACATATCAACTTGTAGGTAACTGAATGCTTTACAGTTAGTTTGCAATTCATTTCTTGGTTTATTTCTTTTTGATGCCCAGATGTCCGGGTGGAACTCCTAGTGTGTACCCATGGGACGGATGTGATACCAGTGGATTCGTCAGCGGCTGCAGTATAATATCTGACACCGCCGGGCCCTTCGGTCCGTACCTCCAAGCGCTGTTCGCCCAGACGGTTTATGAAGCCTGCCTGTTGGACCAGTGTGTCTCGAGTGGTGACGATGATCAGAGGTGTTCCAACATTCAGACCTTCGCCGCCATGTGTTCCTCTGTGGGCTGGGTGGCTGTGGACTGGGCAGGTCCTGCGTCTTGTCGTAAGTATTACAAATTATCAAATTGAATGTAGAAAGAACTAAAAATACAGTACTATTCAGTTGCTTGATCCGTTTTCTTATGTATCTCATTAGCTGGATATCTTGCCTTCATCAACACACACCACCGGCTACACTGTCTGTTTAACCCACCTGTCACATACGTGAACATTGCACAATGCACTCACGACCACGATGTCTTTCAGCGACAATCATGTTGAAGATTTGAGAGATCATTTGAGAAGACAGAAATGGGTACAATAGCAATTATAGTTTAAAGAATATACTGCATATAACGACACAGTAAAATTTACCGTGTAACGATCGTAAAAGATGCAAAATATTTCTGAAATTTCCAAGTAGAAAAGTAGAGCAAAGGAGTTAACGATATAATTGTATATTTTATAGGTAGGCTCTGTGCACAGAAATTCACTTAGGCCGTAACTAGACCCGTTTTTCATGTACTGAACATTATGCCCAGCAGGTGCTAAACAACAATATTGTGACATGTTACGTCATGTACATACTAATATCAATACTCTGTTGTACTTTCCAAGCTCGTGACTGTCCTGCCAACAGCCAGTTCGTGACCTGCGCACCGATATGCCAGAGTACGTGTGCGGACACCGAGCCTCAGCAGTGCGGACGCTGCCGCGGAGCGTGCGTCTGTGACGAGGGCTTCGTACTGAGCGGGGACAGCTGTGTTCCCAAGAGCGAATGTGGCTGTACAGATGGAGACGGCTTTTACTACCCGGTAAGTCTATGTTTTGGTATCTCAAGCTATAATTCTAAAAACAGGTCTACCAAGTCACGTGAGAGGCACATATTGACCTCAATTATATGATCGCCTCGCATTGGAATCTCTTTTGAAAACTGCTTTGGCATCCAATAGCATTTTTTATAATAATACTATAATTATTAATAGAAAAATCAGAGGATATTCTTATATTTTTAGCAGATCAGTACAAAACATGCGGAACTTGTGAATTATTGATAGATATTAAAGAACAGTTAAAGAAAAAAGAACACTTAGTTTTGGTTGGAAGATTTCTGCGGAAAAAAACAAGACAGTTACCCTTCTTTCCAGAACAACGCAGTCTTCACGGGCACAGACTGCTTCACCACCGGGACCTGTACCAACGGAGAACTAACCTACGTGGACCTGTCCTGTCATGACTACGCCTACTGCGACACCAATGATGAGGGCGTGTATGGATGTCACTGTGAGGCCGGCTACATCGGAGATGGAGTGACAAGTTGTACACGTGAGTTGACTGATATATAGCACAGACTGATCTGGAAACTACTTTGAACATGAAATATTTTACCATGATCGGTTAACTCAGCAGAATTTGGTTGTGACAATCTCCTGAGTCTTACAATTGTTATGAGTGCCTAATACATCTAATTTTGTCACATGTATTTCTATTTTACAACTCACTCGTTGTGAATAAATTTGTCATGCTGATCCTAATACTTCTACTTTTGGAATCAATAAGCTTGCCTAGATGCTATCTACATTGTATTTTGCTATTATAATTGTTGACAGTCATATTCTGTAAAGTCATTACATCAATTCAGCCCTCAGTTTGCGACTGTCGTTGAAGTCGTACTAAACGATTACTAATTGTTATTTCCTTTTTTAAATCATTTTCTTTCTGTAGTTGATCCCGGAGACTGCCCAGATGGATTTGTGCCGTATGCGTACTCCTGTTTCAGGGTCACCCCAGATACGATGACATTTGACGACTGTGCCGCATTGGCAGCAGCAGCCACCGAGAACGGCACTGGAAGGTCCTTACACTTCTTTTTTCTACAAACAACCCAAAGTTGACTACATACAGCTAAGGGAATGCAGCCCACTGCACATGTTTTTTCTTTACCCATTAGTTACTATTGGCCACTTTAAAAACTTAGGGTACAGCGACTTTCGTAAGGTCTATAAATAAACATGTAGACAAACACATGGATACAAAATAATTAATCTATGAACAAGCAATCTTAAGACTATGAATGAATCAAGATTTTGGGTTTGGTGCATCACATATGTCTGACTTGTTCTTACATTTAAGTCTAAACAATCTTTGATATACTTACATTTAAGTCTAAACAATCTTTGATATATTTACCTATGTGTAGGATTGTAAAAGTATGTTTTCTCTCAGAAACACAGTCATGATTCAGACAGATATTGTGCACCTTTAGCTTTCTTTTCAAGAATCAAATGTTTTTCTTTTTTTAATTTCCTTTTTTGTGAACCCACAGAATGGCACTCATTTCGGACCAGGGCACCCATGACTTCGTATCAACCCTGGTATCCAGTTCCAGTGCTAGCTGGATCGGCCTTGACGACAGGGTGAGTTTCTGTCTTGCATACTTTGAAGAGAACTGTAATGTGGCTTCCCATACTCTTTTCATTTCAAACACAAAATCCACATTATTAGATTAAGCCTTGACTTAACATCGTAAGCTGTATTAGATCCAATAATTTTGCCATTTGGTTGTTACATCTAGTTCTCCCCTTTTTTCAGAACGTTGAGGCCCTATTCACCTGGAGTGATGGGTCCTACCTGGGTGCCTTTAACCTGTGGGGATCGGGTGCACCTGGAGATAACGGGGACTGCGTGTCCTATCCTGCCGGCGCCTCTACATGGCAGGATGGCGACTGCACCGCCACCGCAGCCTGCATCATCGAGATACGTGAGCAGCACAGCTCATACTTTTAAACAAACAAACAAACAAAAACAATGTTATGACCGTGCACTGTCACCCCATGAAAAATGTTTATCTTGTCATTAAAGCATTCCTTCCTGTTTCATACATACAAACAATAGGGATTAATATCATCGTTATTTCATGACACCTAAATTGTTTTATCCAGGAAACCCTTGTCCTTCTAGCTGGGTTGCCCGGAAGGGATGGTGTTACAAGTACTTCAAAGGTGGTCAAAGCTACGAGGGTGCCAGACAGAAATGCATCGAAAACTACGGCTCCGCCATGGCTGCAATTAGGAGCTCGGCAGAAAATGCGTTCGTGTTCAATAGGGGCCACGGGTGGACGTCAAGTGATGGGGAGTTCTCTGGATATGTAAATGAAGAGGACGAAGATGCTGAGGGTTGTCCTTATCAGTACCGGAGCTCCGGTGGTAAGTTGTACACTGCACACAAGATGACATCACTATGCAGCATGCACTGTCTTTTAGTACGTTGCAGATTGTCTTGCTCGCTCATGTCAGGAATCTATTTTAACCTATTTGTATTCTATGTATTATGAGCAGCTCAGTGTTCTATCTGGCTTATTTTATTTGTAGATTGTAATTCTTTTTATGGCGAAAAATTTTCTTGATAGAGTGTATTTCAAAGGTTTTAATTGCTGTCTTTAACTGTTCTGCAAATTAGAAGAATTTACCCAAGGCATGTAAGCTTTGTTCTGAACACTATTCTAATCATTTATCTAGGCCAACAACCCCAGACCGAGATGGCATGTGAACACAGTGAGCTGACTCTGACTTGCAGTAATGGTTACGAACTGGTCATTCAGTCTGCAAACTATGGCCGCACAGATGGATCGGTATGTAACATTCACATGTCTGTCTGAACAATATTGGGAAACTGACAAAGGAAAGACAGCAGTAAGGACAGAAGGAAAAAATCTACTCACAAAAATCAAAAAGCGATTGCTCTGTATCAGAATCATTTTAAGGATAGATTTTATTACTAAGACACGAATAGAAAGTTATTGACTTCCTTAACGCTTAATATCTAAATTCTAAAAAAATGGTTGAAAAAATAATATTAGTATGATGCCTGTTGCATATTGTAATGTCATTGATTCTATATGTTGCTGTCTTCAATATTCAGTACTAGATGGTTAACAATATCATCATGATGATAGGTACAGTTGCAAATTACCAAAAAAAATCTGTGTAAACACCTCTGTTTAAACCTCTTATCTGATTTACCCTGACATACATGTACATGTACGTAATGTACAATGTAGTTGATACATGTAATTGCCAGCCTGGAATCTCAACAAGCATTTATTTTACGACAGAGAATTAAGTGATCTAGAATATGTGATAGCTCTCACACACGCAAATATAAATTTAAATTCTATGTACAAATTTGTATTCTAGACGTGCCCACACTCTGCAATGTCAGACACCAACTGTGTGGAGCCTACAAGTCTAGACATAGTGAGGGACGCCTGCCGGGATAGGTCGACTTGCACCATCTCAGCCAGCAACAGTGTTTTTGGTGACCCGTGTTACGGAACCTACAAGTACCTGACAGTAGGGTACTTCTGCAGGAGGCAGCCAGGTGTGTTTTGTGCTTGAGTTCTGTTGTGGTTTCGCAGGACAAGGAATGGAACAAGTAGCATTTCAACGGTCTCTTCTGTTCTTAAATATGTCGGAACTAAAGGTGTCCGCTAAACTTGTATTTTACAAAATGGTAAAATTGAGTATTGACAAGCAGGGCATTTCCTATGTGGTACTCAATATTCCCTGTGCTTGAAGAATGTTTGCAAATACATGTATCCTTAATTTGCTCTGATTATCACATTTTGCAATCATAATTGCATGTGTCTATGGCAGATCATTTAGCATATAGATAATCTAATAGTTTTATTTAATTATTGCATCAATTTTGAAAACATGATGGTAAACTGTTTTTAAACATACATTAGGTCTGTGGAAAAGGGAACCATGTCAACGCTGGCTTCCGTACACATGTAGACTTGGTAGGTCTTTAAACATACCTCGCTTAATTAAAGAGTTTTAAAACGTCCCAGCAGTTAATATGTGAGAAGTAAAATCTATTTTTGATTGCCATATGCCTCCCATGCATCAGATCATCTTTAGTTAGTGCTGTAAAGTGTGCAAACAGTTACATATACCTTATAGTCTAGGATGAAAAAACCTGAATATTATTATTATTAATTTAATAATAAGTAGATGAGTCTAAGAATATGAACCCTTTTCATAACTTAAAACTCTTATGATTTTCGGAATGTTTAAAATGAGTAGAGATTGTAGAGATCTAGCAGACATCGCTAAATGCAAGGAATGCACAAAATGTCTTTTTTTTGCATATTATAATGTAATTTTGTTCGCTATGGTTGCACAGATGTTAATGAATGTGCGAGTGGTGATAATGAGTGTGACGTGAACGCCGTGTGCACCAACACTCCCGGCGGCTACACGTGTGCCTGTAAGATAGGGTACACCGGCGATGGGATCAGCCCGGAATACGGAGGACAAGGATGTGTCCGTACGTACTCATATCAGCATTATTATACGGGCTACCTATAACACGTATCATATGGACGTTCAACACGACATATCGTAACAGTAGATGTCATCCTCATGGCAATGTCCGAATCTTACCCGAGCTGCAGAATCTGGTACAAAAATACTTTTACGCCATTTTTGTAAGAGTTCAGTTTGAAAATATTTTGTTTCATGGAAAGTCGAGCTCAATCATGGACATATACAATGTACATGTCAATCAATCAATCAATCAATCAATCAATCAATCAATCCATAATTTATTTAACAATAAACCAATCAATCAACCAGTCAATCCCTGACAACCTAACCAGCCAAGGGATTTTCTTTGCGTAATGATTGTAAAGGTTAGAATGTTAATCATATCATAATCAGACATCATTCTGATCAATATTAATTTTCTCAACTACAGGACGTGGTCTGTGTACTGTCTGGGGGAATGCACACGTCTACACATTTGACGGCGCTCACTACACATACAATGGAAAATGTTATTACGACATGGCAGTATTCGATCAGAGGGTGGACGGCCTGACGAGGTGGCGGGTAGGACTGTCTTGATTTATTAAATTGGGATAATGTATTTAAAGATAAGTTCGTCCAGCTTATTTAATTATTATAAGGTTTAGCTTAGTCTCAGCCAGTAGTCGTAGGTAATTATTGGTTAGCATGAATGATAAGTTGTGTTATAAAGGTGATGAATAAGTAGTTTACTTTACTCTCTCTTTTATTGTTTGATTGTGATTAGCCATTAACCTGGATTTACAATATCTCTCATTCATGATAATAGTGGCTCTAGTAGGCAAACAAACTTATATCGACATCAAAATGTGTTGCTTCTTACTTGCAGTTTCATCTTTCTAAGAATTGGCTTTAGAAAAATTTTCATCAATCACAGTTTTATTCAATCCAACAAAATCATACAAAAGCAGGGAATGCTAATGCATCCCTGAATTGTGTAATTGATTTTTACAATAGGTTAAAAAAACAAGACAGGACAGGTACACAGAAACACACTATATACACATATGTACAAACACCATTCACTCTGCTATATGCATGCAAATAGCAGGCATAGGTTTTCAAATACATGTATCAGCCATTGTCACTGACATTGAAGAGTCTTACTGCACAGTGAATGAAGGACATACTAAGAATATATTACTGCTGTGTAACATTAATGCTGTTTTTTTAAATCTGTCTAATGGAAAAATACATTTTTGCTGTTTTACTAGGTGGAGGTTAGGCTGAAGTCTCGCACAAACAGCTTGTCATCTTCAGTTGAGGAAGTTTTCATCTACATTGCCAACAATGTGTACAAGTTGCTTCGTGATGCTCCGGAATACAGTCGTTGGCCAAAGTGTATGGTAAGCCATAAATTCAGTCAGGAAAATTAATGATATTTACCAGACAACATAGCCACTGTAGAGTGTGATGACATTAGAATTATGTATTTTTAATTCACAGGACTGACTCAAAAGACTGACTCTAAAATTGATGTTTAATTAGAAGGCTTCATCGGCTTAGTAGGTATTTTGAGAACTGGATTTAAACAACTTTTTAGAAGGAAACAACTAGCAAAAACTAAATGTGAAGAAGAATCCCCTATTCTTACAGCACAAAATCATTGAGACGCAACCCAGCAATCCGATGTATGATTCTATAAGTTTGTCAGTAAACTTATCGTTACGGTGATGTCAAAGTCATGGGGGAGTTGATGACCACCAACTGGATAAGTAGTCTAGTTTTCTGTTGACTGTTAGACGATGAATGTTGAAGAGAGAGTGAGGTATTGACATTTTTTCTTTTTGTCTCCTGCCAGAGAAACCGACTTTTCCAGCATACACCAAACTACTTTGATGGCAACTATGATTCAAGAATCAGGATTTACCAACGCGGGGGTAGCTTTCAGTTATTAACAGACTTTGGGCTAGTTGTCACGTAAGTCTTTCTTGGAGACGTATCTTTAAGTTAGTACATCTCATCGACCTGAGATATGCTGAATGGTATATTTTGCAAACGTGTTATCTTGTCTATGTTAGATATTTGCTTACTACTATAGAAGGAAAAGAATTAGATATTGCGTTTGTGTTCCTAATAATTTATACTTACTTTACTTTGCGGGGAGGTGGAGAAGGCGGTTCTGGGCCAGTCGAGTCTCTTGAGTTCCTATTTATAGCTGCCTTTATTAGTACTAGCAAATATACATTTGTACATGTACAGTCTCAACTTATTGCCAATCAAGAAGGAATTTTCTTAAGTTATTGGCCTTAGGTGCTTTCTGTGTTGTAATCTGTAAACTATGCTAACAAGTGCAAATAAAAAATACTAAAACTGGTATCAACTTGCACTGAGGACAATATTGTCAATCCGAATAGATACTGAATACTGTATATGCATAGTGCCTTGAATACTCTACTTACGCTACATAGTATTTACAACCTCAATTCTACAAGTACGATACAATATATTGGATATGGCATACTTACTATTGCTTTGTTTCATATATGTACATACAGGTACAACAGGGACCACCGCCTGCAAATTGTGATTCCGGAGCCATACAGGAATGCTGGGGTGATGGGGTTGTGTGGAAACTTCAACGGTGATTCGACTGATGATCAAACGGGGAGGGACGGCACCGTGTCAGCTGATGTGGTGATATTCGCAGACAGTTGGAATTCTCGACCAACCATCCAATAGTACGACTAATCAACCTTACATTTTTAGCATAATTTTCTCAATACATACAACATTAGGTTGCACCAGGGACCCTCACCAACAAGACATACATGTATTCAATACTTATATGTAATCATTTTATTAAAGTTATTACTCTGGGTATGAAATTTGTGTATACATGTACATGTATGTCTGGACAAAGCCAGTAGTTTGACAGCACCTGGGTGGGTGGATTGACAGGCAGAATAATAGGTCAAAAGGTCAGACACAGGAAACAAGGTGAAGGTGAATGTCTCATAATCTGGCTTTTAGGCAGCAGGAGTTAGTGGCAGACATGGTGGGAATTTAGGATTGCATATTTCAAGAAAATCTAAAATCTTCGAGAGAATATAAATTAAACTCAAGTTTTCGACTATGCCCTACCCAGCTGCACTGATCCAACACCGCCAACCAATCCGCGGGATGGGTGTAACACTGCACCGTTCGAGGCTTTGTGCGAGGTTCTGAGAGACACCACCGGTCCTCTGGCTGCTGGGCATGCCTATGTGGACCCTCAGGTAACGCTTACACGACTCTACTAACTTAACTTGCACAAGCTCTGTTACACCTACATGTACGGACAGAACGTTTGCAGTCATTAAGGACTATCAATATTTTATAACATTTTATTACATCTGATTCAACAATTTTAACCAGAGTTTTTTTGAGTACGTCTTTTGTCACGCTCTGAAGGGATTTTTGAAAATCATTGATTAATGATTGATCAATAATATGATAGTTATCAACCAAACAGCTTAATATATTTTGGTATATTTCATGCACCAAAACATTATGAAACCTGATTAGTTTCAAATGCTGTTTCATACAGATAGAAACCAAATGATAAATTGATGTAGATGCCGTATCTTTGTAAATTTTCATACAGGTAGCATATCAGAATTGTTTGTATGACTTGTGCGCTGAAGGATCTGACTACGTCTGTAGCGTCTACCAAGCCTATGTGGAGGACTGTGCAGCGTTTGGAGCAAGCTTTGGTGACTGGAGAACTCCCACCAGCTGCCGTAAGCTACCAACAATCATCTACTTTGAATATCGTTCAAGTAACAAAATACACATTTAACATTCAGTATTGTGTCCAAACCTTATTGACTACAATCTGTTATTTTTGTAATTGCTATCAGATGAACATTCAAGTTTTACTGCAGCCATGTTTGCACATCCTACAACATTCTGTAACAAAATACTCTGGTTTTTACTATCTATTATTTATCACGTAAATGCGCTACTAATATTAATCAATCTATGATTATGAGTTTTACCGCAGTGCCCTCTGCTGTTAGTTTAATACTGTCTAGCCAGGGGTTGGGGGAATGAGTTCGGCAATGTAAAAAGAGAATTACTATTGAATGAATGCATCACATTAGCTTGATGTCTAATGACACTGCCATCTACATGTACATTCAGCATATGAGTGGTTGAAAAGTGAACCAAAGCTTGAAATAGCTTGGCATACAATTGTTTACCATTAAGTACCCCATGACAACATATAAGTCACATACACAATCAATATATAGTTTACTTTTAGTATTACTTAATGACATTGAATGCATAATCTACTTCTCATTGTGGTGTTGTACAACAACCTTCAGGTACATAAACTACGTATCTAGATTAAGATCAATGCATGTTCCTCTCTCCTGTTTCCTGTAGCATATACCTGCCCAGAGAACAGTCACTACTCCCTGTCCACCAGTCCGTGCAGGGCCACCTGTGCTGAGCCTGACGCCCCGGCGTCCTGTGGAGTTCCTAACGCAGAAGGCTGTGAGTGTGATGACGGGTACATCTGGTCAGGGGACGTGTGCGTGCGCAACCCGGCCGACTGTGGCTGTCTGTTTGATGGAACCTACCTTCAGGTACGATATGTATCTTACATGTATTTTTTTCACAGTGCACATACATGCATATTATCTATAAGGAGATACCACACACGAGCAAGTCTTCGCTTTTCTTCAGCATCCATCAACTTAACAATTGACATAAAACAAGTGAGAATCTTAAAGAGTATGATACCCAGGCATTATCCTCATGGTCTCATTATTATGCTAGGGCTAGCCTATAGGTATTAATCTATCCTTGGATACCATGACGATAGAAAGTTTCTGTTTGTTATTTTTTCTTTAGACAGGGTAAATAAGCAATTGACTTTACATTGCGACAGTTCTGATTTCACAGGCTTATGGTTGAGAACTATCTCAAGATGTATTTATTTTCAGCTCGGCGAATACCGGGTGATAGGAGAATGCGAGATCCTCTGTCACTGCTCAGCACCCAATACTCACACCTGTGAAGTTCATGGGTGTGGCGAGAATGGGTTCTGTAGGACAAGTGCAGGCCGCACAGGGTGTGAATGCCTCCCAGGCTTCGTAGACAACAGCGAACGCCAAGATGGCACCCTGTGCGATTGTAAGTACGCAGCTGAAAGACATACCAAACTGACTAGAAAATAGCTGGCTAGTGCAAAGTTAATAGACATTAGAACCAGAGGACTGAAAATCATTCTGTGTGGCTGGTACTCAATTTTGGATGAACCAATAAACAAATTTTAAAGTACATGTATTCTCAAATTCCCTGAGTAGCTAATCATCATTGCTCATCCTCTATCAATAACACTAACAGAGGAGTAACAAACTGTCTTTGCCAGAGTACACTTTCATTCTATGATCCTTAGGCCACACCAATTTAATTTGTTGGTTCTCAGATTCGCCTCTTCATTTTTTTTCTGATTTGCACAAAAAAAAGATTCTGGTTCTGAATCTACTCAAATATGCTTCTATATATTTTGCCCCCAACAGTTGAGGAAAGTTTTCTCTTCCTAGTTGTTACAGTTTTTTGTCTATCAATGCAGTGGTTTGATTAAAAGTTCAAAATTCGTTGTTTAGATATTATAAGCCAGCCTTTTGTGTTGACTTCATGGCTCCTATCTAGCATTTAGGGCTATAATAGAATGCCTAAACCTGTTTTTGTTCATTTTTTTTTCCCTGTCGCTTCATACTTTTTTCCGGAAAAATCCGAGAACCAACAAATTAAATTGGTGTGACCTTAAGTCCTCTCCGACTACGTGTACATGTAAGTTACTAGTAGTTACATGATTGTTTCATAACAATTTCTTATTCGCAGGGAACGTTTGTGAACGTGGCTGGAAGTACCATGGCCAGTCCTGCTACAACATCCCGAAAGCACGCCGCAACAATCGCAAGGCCGAACAGGTTGGTTACCAATGGCATTTACCTTTTCAATTTTATTGAACATCAGGTATTACAAACATCAATACATGTGATCTTCACCAAATGTCCTACCTCAATCTTTACTTGGAAAACCTATTTCAACCACACACATTGTTATATTTAACTATATTTACTCTAATTAGGAAGGATGTATGATTAAATTGTGTCTTAAAAGACGATTGTGGAAATAGATTCAAACGTTAAGCCCCGTCACATGTACACATTCACCTCCCGAACACTAGCCGAACGCCCCCCAACCATATGGTTAGGAGTAGGTCGGCGTAAAGTCGGTTGGGTCGGCAGATATTTGGCAAATTCTACTATATTCGGCTGCACCAGCCAAATTCCCCCCAATTTTTTAAACATTCAGGAGTTGGTTATAAGTCAACAGAACACCGACCAGAGTAAGTCAGCAGTGTTTCTGGTGTGTTACGCCGTAGGGCAGTTATACCAGCTATACCAGTACAGATACAGAGGTGTGTTCACGGTTCAAATTTGACTGAAATCTAACTCAAATTTGTTTCAATTTGTATAGAAGGCACGCGTGGCCCAAATCTGGTCAGAGTGCTGAACCTGGTCTGCTGGTGTTCGGGAACAAATTTGGGGGAAGGTCGTGAATGTGTGATAGGTGCTCTATAGAGCTGAATCAAAAGTCAACATGCCCTTGGGAAAGGCACTTTACACAACTTTCCCCACTACATGTAGACTCAAGTGAAAATAAGTCTGTCCAGTATTCGTTTCTATGTGCGGGACATAACACCAGCAACAGCTGCCTCTGTTCCGTGACGGTTGCAATTTTTGTAAATAAATCAAATCCATGCCATTGACAATCTGCGTCTTTGTTTATTAAGCACTGTAAGGCATTACATCCACGGGCCATTCTTGCCAGAGTGCTGGACCAGGAGACACATGAGTTCCTCCTAACGATGATCCAGCAAACTGGGAAACCAAGGCTCGGTTTCCGCATTGCCGGGAATGAAGAAATTGTACCTAACATATACCGGGTAAGTGTGAATTATGCTTATATTATAAACAACCTTTCATCAATAGCTTTGTATAGGCAAAGTTGGTACTGCGTTTTAACAAGAAATAGTACCAACAGGAGTAGGTCTAAACCCAAAGTCATCTTGAATCATGAGTCAAAAAAATATTGTACTCGGTACGACTCATATCGGTTTTAAAAGCGCATTCTGATGACTCATTTTATCATCATATCCACAGCGGTCCGACTATGCACCATTAGTGGATTTCCAATTTTTCGTAGAAGGTCAACCAGAGAGTGCTGTTTTCTTCAAAAGGTGCCTCGCCTACGCACCTGCCAGTTCAGCCAACAGTGGCAAGGTGGAGGCTGTGGGCTGCAACGGCGCAGCGGCGTTTATATGTGAAATACGTAAGTAACTTCTTTCTATCGCACACCAAATGGCAAATTTAAATGTCTGTCTGCAAAATTGATGTAACTAGCCATCCTGTTACTTCCTGCAAGGCAAATATGCTATCATCAAGCCTGACAACTGATGGCACTTTAGTTGAGGCCATACCAATTCAATTTGTTGGTCATAGGATTTTTTTTAAATATGAAGGGACAGGGTGATAAAGATAAAAACAGGACGAGGTATATGATGGCCTCAAATGCTATGACAGGCCATAAAGCCAATATACGGGTTGGCTTAATTATAAAACAATGAAATTTCAAACTTTTAATCCAACACTGCATTCATGCATTCAATTTGATACAGTAACTATAGATGGAAAACTCTTACAGCAACAACAAGAAGGGGCTTTCTTCAATTGTCGGGGCCAAAATATGAGCAGTTTTGATTTGATTCAGAGCCTAACATGTTGTTTTTGTGCAAATTAGAAAAGAATGAAGTGGGCAAGTGTGAGAACCAATAAATATATATATTAGCATTGTGGAAGACTGCGATGATTACAAACATACATGACAAAAACAAACATATCAGGCTACCTTATCAAATAGTCAAGAGTAATTCTGGTTGACTGCCTTCAAAGGAAGAGTCATTGAAATAGTTGTGTTTCTTTTCCTTCCCTAGCACAAGCATGCCCGGAACAGTATGAACCGTTGGAGCGGGTGGAGGGTGAACCATGGTTCTGCCACAGGATAAACTGTACTGACGATGGCGATTGTGACGAAACAGCAGTTGGTAAGTGACTTAATATATACATGTAAGTTTCTACTTCATCGATATTCTTTTAACTCTCCCTAACCCTGATTATCAACAAGATATATTTGATTTTCCAACCTCCTTGTTATAACATAATCCAAAACTCTGTGACACTGTGTCCGATTGAAATTGAAGATTTGTCATATATGATGTACATGTAGTAAGTATTATACAATGTCATGTAATTATTTTTCACTCAAAATCAACTATCCTTCATAACGATAGTTCTCACATGTATACAATAGTGATAGATTTATATGTTACTATTATATATATATATAGTTTTGCTTTGTTTACTATTAAACACTACAGGTTATGATACTTACCTTCAGACGATGTTGCAATAGTATCACTACTGCATTCAGACCATGTGCGTACAAACATGCAATAAAATTAAAAGATCATTCATAATGTGATGACGGTCATTCATAATGTGACCGTCTCATATAAAACCTTTTATATTTTTTTTCAAACAGATATTGATGAATGCGCAATCGGAGAGCATGATTGTCATCCCGAAGCCTTCTGTCTGAACAACAATGGGAGTTATACCTGTGTGTGTATGCCTGGTCGAGTGGGTAATGGCACACACTGTCAACGTGAGTATGAAATTCTACATCTTACATGGTTCAACTGTAGACAGTATTGTTAAAGGTTAACGTTGGTAAAAATAGTCACCGTACCCAAAAGCAATCACCAACACAAAAACGAATGCTTCGCATTGTTCAAATTAACATGCATGGCATTTTATATGTAGAACTAACTACAGGGAATATATGACATTGTATAATTATGCTGTTTTGGTCTTTGGGTGTATGATCCTGAACAGTGTGTTATATCGACTGTAACTATGTAATGAACGTCATTAGTTTTTCTTGCAATCCACGTATACTTGCAAAAGGTACAATGTATACGTAAACAACATTGAAGACTTTCACTTGCAGGATAATATTCTAGCTGTGCATACTTTCTTCTACTACAATATGTAATAAACAAACCTATCTTATTCGTTCTCAGAGGCTGGTCTGTGCCAGATATCAGGGGATCCAAATTTCGTGGGTTTGGACGGACAGTCTTTTAGTTTCCAGGGAGACTGTAAATACACCATGGTCACCTATTCTGGTACGTGCTAATTAGTTATTTAACGTTATGGATATCTAACCTTGTGTGTTATTTTAGCTACTACGTAATTATACCCATGTTATTCTGTTAGGTACGTCAAAACAATACTGTCAGTAGCTATACATGTTAATTTTGTACTTGTCAGCTAAGTCATCAAATGTTGGACTTACCTGCCATTCATTGTTACTGGTAAATCCCATGTTTGGTGTATTGATTTTCTTGTTAATTATATTTTGTAACAGCGGGAGCCAGATCGTTTGTGGTGGAGGTGTCTTTTGAGCACCGTGAGCACGAAACCTCGGCATATGTCAACTACGTCTCTGTGACGTTTGACGGACATAAGGTGGAAATTTTCCGCGGACGGCAACTTATTGTGAGTACATGATTATATGGACTTTATATTACATTATTACCGAAACATCAATCAAATGCTACACTCAGTATTCTGTACACCAAAAGAAACTGACTTAAGGGTGTTTAACTTAGTTTTTTTACTACATGTATTTAAATGTTCCTGATAGGTCTAGGCTGTTTGTGAGGACGTTGTAAACTCAGAGGTGTGGATAACATCAATTATAGAATTATTCCTATCCTGACAATGTACTAGCCTTCTCCTAACATTGAACAAAATCATTAACAGGCTACAGTAAGTCTGTACATTGACACGCCACAGTGATTTCTGCATCATCAATCCAATGTACGCTAGAAACTTTGTAGTACACATTACAGCATGACTTTGTTAATGTCATGTAATATAACATTTACTTTATACCCATAGAATGCTTCAAAAGTGCATGAATATTGTGTCCTCACCCTCACAGGTTGATGGCATTCGCCGCAACATACCAGCAAAACCAAGTCGAAATACGAATCTCGAGATATCCTTCTTTGGCAACTACGTCATAGTGGAAACACGTCTTGGTCTCAGGGTGATCTACGATGGATGGCAGCTGGTACAGGTTAGTCACAGAATGATAAGGCCTTTTTTCCATTAGCTTGTACTCCATCATATAATATCAGAGTACAGTATCTTATATGTATTGTTGCAATTGTTCAGAAAAAGTTACTAGCACTGCAGTTTGTACATAAGCCCAGTCATTCTTGCAGGCATGCATATGTAACACGACATTGTCTACTACATTGTACATGTATTTACCGTATGAAACATTTCCTTCCCAATGCTACAGGTGACCCTACCGTCTACCGACTACCTGGGCGCAGTAGGCGGTCTCTGTGGGAACTTTAACGGGGACCCGGATGACGACCTTGAGATGCCAGACGGCAATCAGGCCGCAACAGTCAACGATTTTGTTAACAGTTGGCTGACAGCAGACCAAGATCCGGCCAGGTAATCAGTTGAAAAGTGTGAGACAGTGATATGTCACTTTCAATGAAATGCATAAAACACAACTGCCACTTTCCTACAGGAACATCACTACAGTCTGGCATACACGTAACTGGCTTAAATCAGTATTTTTGTAAGGATGGTTTGTTTTGGTACCCATTCTGTGACAAAATAAGAGCCACATGACAGTGATATGTCTGATGCTATGAACTATCTTGGCGATTTTATCAGTGGAGTCTCCATTGCACATTATATTATTATTAAGTGACAAACCAGTAATCTGGCACCCAGGCGTAAAAGATTGACCGATATTCCTGCTATATTTTACATGCATATTATGAAACATTTTCAGAGTAAGACTAGACTTTTTAGATGATTGAATTCTCAATTTCTGTTCTTTCACCCTGAAGCTGTGTTCCTCCTGACGTGGACCCACTGGACGGCTGCGATACGGATGCGGCAGGAAACCGCTGTGCTCTCTTGCTAGATGAGGATGGACCGTTTGCCAATGGTTTTGACACAATCGACAACTTGGTAAGTAGTACTAGTAATATTGCGGAATACAGTTACCAGGTTTTTGAGAAGAGTATCCTAGCATCAACTGGAGTTCCACGACCTCATGCCTTTGCCAATTGAAATGACATTGACCTTTACAACTGTTCAGTCAATCAGATTCTGTACCCAATTCTAGCATTTCAGAGAAATTCGGTAAGTAGTAAGCTGTTTTAACAAAAGAATTTACATGACCTAGTGCTGTGGTATGAAAATTTCCTTTGTATCATACATTGTACATTAAATTGCTTCTTATTATGAAGAGCTATCAAAACCTATCCACCATACAAAAATCCAGACAACTAGTCTGGCAGAACTTGAACTGCTAACACACTAACCAACAGAAGGTCCACTGCTGTGACATTGGACCCCCCACGAGGCCTATTTTCGAATTTGACCTTGGTCTCTACAGCAGTAACTTGCCTACCAAAAATCATGAAGAATCTTTTATATAATTTATAATTATACTCGAGTTACCCTTAGCTACTAACAAACAACAAACACAAAAGGTCCACTGCAGTGACGTAGGGACCCCCACAAAGTCAATTTTTGCACTTGACCTTGGTTTCTCCAACGGTAACCTGCCTGCTAAAAGTCATGAACATTGATCCATGCCTTCAAGAGTTATCTATAAATCATAGGTTCAAGTGTTAGTAAATAGTCTTCTGAGTCATTATGTTTGTCTCCATGCAGCCTTTTTACGAAGCCTGTGTCCGTGACCTCTGTGTGTACTCGGATGTGCCAGACGACACCGTCCTGTGCTTTGAGTTTGCAGCCTACGCCGCTATATTAAGTGAGGCCCAGGTCGTTTTGCCACCGTGGAGAAGCGAGACTCTGTGTCGTGAGTACCTGTCCACTGGCAGTCATTTTCATTATGCTCGTGAAAGAGATTCCTTAAAAGGAATCTCTTTCTCATGCAAGTTTTACATTGTCTTTACACGTAAACATTTAGATAAATTAGTATATACAACTGAATGGCTTTGTCTGTTTACAGAAAACAAATTAGAATGATAACAAGACCGCATAGATTTATTATTATATTTCACCTAAGGACACGTAGTTTATGTATAACATTTTGTTTCAGAATCTGTGAATAAAATCATATATTAGTCTAAGATTCTTTATTGCCTCGACAAACAGGAACTTTTAATTTGTACGTGTATGGTCTACCACAATAGTTAAGATCTAGCAAAACTAAATACATGAGTGAATAAAATACTATCAACAAAATCATATATAGATTATTCATGTAGGTGTAGTCCACGGTGATAGTATGATAATTATGGTCTTTTGAAAAAAATTATGTGTGTCCATCATCCAGCCTTGATGTGTGGAGAGAATGAACATTACGATCCCCAGGCCAGCCCGTGTACACGGACGTGTGCGGAGCCAGACCCGGGACACTGCATATTCCCACCCCGCCCCAGATGTGTGTGCAATGAAGGTTTGTATTCGTACTACATGTATGTACATGTATATCAGAGTTTGGTACAACGCCTTGGCTATTTTTATTTGCTGTCAATTTTGTTTAAATCAATAAAACTTTGCTTGTTTGGGGCAACATTTCACCCACATTTCTGGGTTAAGCCCTGTACATTATATAATACACATTGTACAAGCTATCATTGTGTTAATTTGTTTATGTTTGTTTATTTGTCTATCACTCTAAGGTTACCTGCGGAGTGGTTTAGAGTGTGTCCCAGTTGACCAGTGTGGATGTTGGGATGCAGGCTTCTATTACAAAGTATGAGCTTGAATATATAATAATTACTTACAGAATTTATGTGGTGTAGCAAATGACATTTCAAATGTCCAAAAAAAATTAGTCAGTCTATACAGAGAATAGAGTTAGTCCCAGTAGAGTCTTTTAGGTCCGAGACAAGGCAAACTAAAAGTCAAACCATGACAAACCCATTATATTTTGCAAAAATCAGTTATATCTTTGCTTTATAAGCTTGTTGAAATTGCGCCAATATTGTGTTTTATTAAGTAATGTGTTTTATCAAATAATTTTATTGATCTTTTGTCTTATCTTTTACGACATTTCTCAAACAAAATGCAGTTGACCCCCATTTACCATGACAAATCAATTGTATATTATAGCTATTATATAATGTATGTATAATCAATAACAATAACAATATAATAAAACACAGGTACTGTCTCTGTAATCTAGTTCAATGGGAAAGTCAAACCCTTTCTCGATCTCCTATCCTCCTACAGCTTGAGGAAGTATTTTACGAAGACAACTGCCGGCGTTGCGGATGTGGGAAACGTCCCGATGGCACCCCTGTGATTGGTTGCAGGGCAACGACCTGCCACCCTCAAGCCACCTGTACTATAAAAGACGGACGACAGGGATGTCACTGTAACGACGGCCTGTTTGGAGATGGAATCGACGCCTGTGCCTGTACGTGCAGCTAATGTCTAAAGTCTCTTGAAGTTTTGGGTGTTTTTAAAGGACAGGTATACTTGCCGTATGTAAATGTGCAATAACTTTGCTGGCTGCAAAGACAGAATCAACTTGGCCAGCCTGGACCCATTTGCCATTTCGCCTGTCCAATTTGATTCTGTCTATGAAGCCACCAAAGGATCTGATTAGAGATTAGATTGCAAAGGACTACCAAACAAACACACACACACAATGCACATTCCCTATATCCACCTCTGCATTTAAGGTACAGCGATATCAGGTTAATAGGTCATTTCTAAAACATGAGTATTTTGATTGAGTTGCGTTAAGTTATCGTGATGATTTTGTCATTAAAGATTTGGTGCTTTCAATACTTTGTCTCTCCCAGTTTTCTACCAACAGTACCTTTAGCCTTTGATATTTGTTGTACACAACCATACATAGCGTACATGTACATATCACAGTATGCATCCAGCCAGTGTGGGTAAGAACATGTAAGTAAAGATCATCATTAAACCGTCTCCCAGCTGAACCGCCGCGGTGCGACCCTGGCTTCCATCTGGTGGACGGACGGTGCTGCCGTATCGTGGAGCTTGGGTGGACGTACAGCGAAGCCCAGGGAGAGTGCAGAGCTATCAACGGCCGTTTGGTTGTGGTCAACACGGAAATTCTTCACACTCTTGTAGTGGCACTAAAGAACAAGCTTAGCCCAACCTCCAATTATTGGATAGGCTACGACGACATGTAAGTTGGCAGCATGAAAATTATCCAGACAGTGGGGACAGCTTTGGCCACAGAGGCATTGACAGTGATACATGTACGTGGTGCATGGAAGTCATTCTGTTACAATCTATGGAACGTAGTTTAACATTGTTCTTTTTATCATGTGGAAGTGATTGTAGCAAGATGTAGAAGTCTTTGTCTGTTTATGCACAAACTATTAAGCAGGCTCGTATGATTTGAACTGTTTTGATAATGATCATGGCATATTAACCCCTAGGATAATTCAGTCTAAGCAGCCTACAGGACTTTTATTGAAAACATATGATGCAACAAATGTTATGATTCGATCAGCTTAACTTTAATTTTGCCCTTCATTGCGTTTTTTCCAGTGAAACGGAAGGTGTGTTCGTGGGATCTGACGGTTTAGTGCTGGGGTCGTGGAACAAATGGTCCGGTACCTCTCCACATGCGGACGGGCCAGACTGTGTCCTGTACCTGTCAGACCAGGACCACGCCTTCCCCAACATGTGGTCTGACAGGGACTGTGAGTCTCGTCACGGCTACATCTGTGAAAGAGGTATCTTTTTTCTCCTTAAATCCGTTACACCGCGGTTGTCATATGATTTTGATGTCATAGCATTTGGTACAATAAACCTTTCTGAAGATTGCTCCCTGCAGTTTGCGATCGCACGATGATTGTGTGATGTATGTGACCGGTTCCTTAGTCGAGTAAGCAGTACTGCCCATAAGATATGCGCTATTATCCTAAAGGCGAATCTCTAAAAATTGTACTAGTGCCTCAATGCACTTATTGCAGGCATTGCCCATTTACCATGGCATACATTTCTTAAAAGTCAGGTATTCTAGTTGTCTAAGCGATCAAACTAATGCACAGTCATGCATTTCCAAGCATTGCTATATCTGTATTGTTGTTATTGTTCCAATATAGAAGTAAGCAACATTGAAAAAAAACAACTATTTTCCTGATTACAGACGTTGATGAGTGCAGCAATCCAGACTGGAATAACTGCCATGCGAATGCGAGATGTCTCAACACATTCGGGTCCTTCGAGTGTGAGTGCAACACGGGCTTCATTGGCGACGGCGTTAACCAGTGCTCGGGTAGGTAGACTGTTGTTATCAACATCTTCTCACTTCTGAATAGTGATAGAAACAGAAAAACTTACTGGACTTGTCTCACGCCTAACTGGAAATTAATGTTCACGTGCTAGGTAACACATACTGCAATCTACCCATACTTGATTAGAATTGTGGAGAAAAAACAATATTAGGGAAGCCAACTACAGAACTTACTTTACTAAATATTTTTTTAGCTATAGCATAAAAACAATAAACGGGCAAAATGAAATAGAGCATAATTCCTTTACGGAATTTTAAAGAACGGAGTTGGTAACTTATTTATTTCATGTAACGTTGCGAGAGATTTTGCAGTGCACATTATTATTACTACATGACTTGTACTATATTTACTTTTATAGTATATTTTGTGTACATTGTATATTAACTGCGTGTAACTGTGCATTTCTTTCTAAGAAGGAAAAGTGTTTTACCGTCTGTACACAGAATAGTGCTTTTTCATTAACACACAAATGTTACTACATTCATGTAGGCTCCTCAACATGCCGGGTCTTCGGAAGTGGGCCACACTTCTTCTCGCATGACCGTCTGCACACAGTCTACCGTGGTGGGTGTGACATCATCGTCAGTCGCTACACGGGCAGTGCTTTCGAACAATTTGAGATTGTAGTGAGCAACAAACGTGGCGGTGAAGGAAATTCCAGGACTTATCGGGTCTCCTCGGTCAAAGTTGTAGTCTACGGAATTACGATACAGCTTTTTGATGACCGAGTTGTCTGGGTGAGTACGATTTACTTCCCGATGTATGGAAGTATTCCTTTGGGTGGCTGAACTGTGGGTTGTGTATCTGTTTGTTTGGACAGAGTTGGTTGACAACACATGGGTGGTAGAAGATTTACAGGCATAATGAGAGGAGGTTAAAGGTATCAGAATCTGGTGCTAGCAGGACAATATCAGGAAGCAGAGGATTGCATACAGTTGTACTTTCTAGCGTCTGAAATCCTTGATTTCTTGTTTACGTGATTCACTTAAGTCTCGTCCCAGTCTATCACCAAGGACAAGAGCACAACAGCAGCTGAGGTGCTAGCTAATAGGGTCACTAATGGTTTCATTCTTCACAGGTCAACGGGATCAGAGTTTGGGCTGGCTGCACACCCTACCTCCACGAGGACATCTACATTTACTCGCGAGCTACTGCCCTAGTTATCAGGACCAGTTTCATGCGGATCATTCTTGATAGCAGAAATAAGGTTAGCACCATTCACCATGATTGTAGTCCACTCTATTTTAAAATGTCGCAATAGCACAACATCTTAGAAAATTTCGAAAGGAACTGGATACTGGATGGCAGTTTCATAATTGAATATTCCAAGAGTTTTTCTGTTTTAATGACGCCATTTCTAAAGGAATTTACCATACCATCTACACTATCTGAGATCCCGTCAAACATTCAGGACCTTCCCTTGACAAGAGTTTGCACAAGGTCTAACACATTGTGTCAACTTCCGTCTGTTTTCAGCTGGACATCACACTGTCCGATATATACGCCGGGGTAATAGAGGGCATGTGCGGAGATCTGGACGGTGATCCAACAAACGACAACCTGACACCAGACGGGACAGCCGCCGCGGGTGACAATGAACTGGCAATGAGTTGGGCGGTGGAAACGATCACGTATGAACATTTTGAAAACTATTTTGGATCCAATGCCTATAAACACAATCTAAATGCATGTATTTACATTGTTTTACATGCACAAGGATAAACAGCGTTGTATGTAATAGGTATATACCTCAAGAGTGTTGTCGTTCTTGGCGCACTTTCAAATTTAATAGGAACCGTACAGTTTGATAGTTATAATTTGGAAAAAAAACACAGGTCTATCATAGAATGATAAAAATTTACTTCAAATGCTAAATATCTCTAGTTGTACCTGAGGTACCAGTAATTATCTTACTGTCAAGGACACATTTAACTACATTTGTATCATTGTTCGACTTTGTATGAGCACTTAAATGTGTGTACTAATTGGTTTAACCCAATGTGATTTTATTCTATTCACCACTGCAGGTGTTCTGCAGCAGATGACCCAGATCCAGAGTGTGAAAGCGAAGATGAGCGCACTAACGCTATGAGAATAGCGGTTGCTCTAAATCAGGAGGTGGCAGGGAGGTGGGTAACTGATAGTCACCACATTGACATTGATTTGACACAGTGTCTGACACAGTGAGTCATGTTAATCATACGCCATTATGAAATAACGGAGTGGCTTTACCGTTTTTGTTGTCTTTTGGAAAAAATGTCATGATTTGGAGGATGATATAGTGACATCATATCAGATGGCAGTCTGTCACACATAGCTGAATATGGCCTCCGAACACTGCCCCCCCCCCAAAAAAATGGTTAGGAGTAGGTTGGGAGCAAGGTCGCCTGTCGTTGGCAGGAGTTTGCGAGGTCAGCTACTGTTCGGCTTTCAAATGTTTCAAACTTTCTGGTGTGGATGGGAGGTTCAACTGAAAAGTAGGCATGGCCTAAATCTGGTCAAATGTCTCCCGAGCTTCAGCCAACGAGTTGTTTGGTTGATGATCAGGGGAAGTTCTGATGGTTCTGAATGTGTGATAAGGGCTTTAGATGCATGGTAAAATGGTTGGATGGAAAAATCTCACTGCATGTTCTTATCTTGGATCTTGTTGTTTTTGTCTCCTAATCCCATACAGCCCATTCCAAGATTGCTTTGCAGTGGTAAACCCTGCCAAGTACTTCCTTGTTGCCATAACGGATCTCTGTAATCATGACCTGGAACTTTCTTACTTCTGTGACGTCGCAGCGGCCTATGCACGTGCCTGCTACCGCAGAGGTGTTCAACTTCCGGTCTGGCGCGTTCCCACGGATTGTCGTGAGTGAAACTCTTATTACAGATTGTACCTTCGCCTAGGGTACATGTATATACATTGTGTCTGTTATCGTAGACTAACGTCTGAACGTTTGGATGTAGTTTGGCAGCATAACTCAAAAACATATGAATGGACTTTGATGAAACTTGATGTTTAATACATGTAGGTGTTGACCTATGGAGGAAATGATTCGATTTTGAGGCCCTTGATTAGTTTCCTTAGTATTGCAGCAGAACTTTTAGGTGCATGGCTAAAAGGTGTAATCTGAAGACACCCGGTGCCCATGTTCAAAATCTGCAATAATACTGCCTCAAGAAAGGGCAACACTCTAACTTGTACATTTAAGTATGCTTAACTAATCGTCATGTGTTCTCCTGACAGCGTTACCATGCATGGCGAACGCCCACTATGAGTCCTGCACGACAGCGTGCCCGGCGACCTGCCGGGATAGGAACGCCCCTAACACCTGCGAGGTGCAGCAGTGCGTGGAGGGCTGTGTGTGTGACGATGGCTTCGTCCTCGGAGGAAACAAGTGCACCTTGGAGGCCGACTGTGGCTGCACTGTGGATGGATTCTGGTACCCGGTAGGTGGCGTTCCTTCCTATTAAAAAAAATGAATCGCCATTGGTAACTTTACATGCACCATTATTAATAGCCAAAAAATGTATTTCTTTTTCAGCTTTGTTGGTATATAAAATAAATCAAAATATACACAGGGACAATTTCTATCCTGTTTGATACCCATCCAGTCCCCACCCATCAGTATTTCAATGCATGCATGGTCTTTGGTTTGCAGTTGCCATATATCTTTGGCCTTCGGAACTTGTATTTCCCCATTAGGAAGCTACACATAAATAAGTTTCCTAAATTTAGTTCAAATGTACAGGTATATGTTGATGTTTTTTCATGCACCAACCAAAGTATGGCTATAGATCTAGAAGATTTTACATCAAAACCCAAATGCCAGCTCCTCTCCATTTCACAGCCTTTTGATTGATTTCTTTTGTAGCTTGGTTATACGTGGTTTAAACCTGGCTGTACAAAGAAATGTACCTGCACGGCTTACAATGACTGGACCTGTGAGGACTACACCTGTGAAGGGCACATGTATGAGTGTAACATTGTGGACGCGGTATTAGGCTGCCACTGCAAGGCTGGGTTCGTGTTCAATGAGGACACCCAGGAGTGTGAAGGTAAGTCACCTGACTTTGAGCATCGTAAAATGTTACACAATCAACGTTTAAAAATTTCATAGAGATGACTGCGTGAAGCTAATCCAAATTTTCAACTTTGCAACAATTAGTAACTTGGGACATTATGATTTCAAATGTAATAATGACAGTGTATCCGTTTAGATATGAACATATAGCTGGAAATTGTCCATGCTAGTTATAAAGTTTTCTGTAAGTCTGAGATCTCTGATGACCCCTCCTCCCATTGCCGCTCTAGTTCCGCCCTGCCCTGACGGATGGATCACGTACGAGGGCTCCTGTTACAATCTCTTCAACGTGCTGAGGACCTGGTGGGAGGCCCGGGCCAAATGTATCCAGTGGGGAGCAACTCTGGTCACAATCAAACGCCCAGACGAGGCAATGTTCATCAACCTGCTCTGGAAGGGATGGAGGAGGAAATTCTGGGTCGGATTATATGATGAAGACGATGGAGAGGTACGTGACAGAATCATCTGAGACTAATTTATGCTTACTCTTTGATTAATCCCACCAAATGTGCTGTAATGATGTCTACATCACCCACATGTAAGATACAAGATGTCTTTAATTGACTGAGTTGAACTACATTGTAATGTGCAAAGTTTGTGCCAAGCGTCATCGAGAATTATCTTTAATATAAATATTAATTTTTAAACCATACAGACAAATGGATGGTCTACAGTATTATTATTTCACAAAATATGTTCATAAAATTCACATCTAAGGCACAGAATACTGTCTAGTATCCATACTTAGTCTAGTGAAACTAACGTGCCAGACATGGTATCAGGGAGTGGCTATATGACTTAGTGTGTGTTTACCTTCGGAATGTTCAGTTTGTGTCCATTTCTGGTATTTCGGCCTGATCATGAGTTGGTTGAATGTAGATCTATGACTCTGTAACCATTGACAAGTAAGACACATCATAGCTGTTCATAATAACTTTAAAACATGAATCATTGGTATGTTGTATAACAGGAATATTTCTCGCTACAGGTGGGGAATTTCCGGTGGGTTGATGGAGCGGAGATCCAGTGGAGGAACTGGTACAGAAACGAACCGGAGTTTACACAGACCGACGCAGACGGTAACACCCAGCGTTGTGGAGTAATCATGCCAGATAATCGTAAGTAATCACCTTCTGTTACTGTATCATTGTTCCACACAACTACCCTGCTCTTTGATAAAGTAGTAGTTTTTATCAAATTAAGAATATCAAATTCAAATGGTGGATTTTATGTTGTTTAATTTGATCACGCGCCGCTGTATTTTGATATTGACACAATATAGTTTCGGTTGCTATCATGGTGGATGTATTCTGTATTTTGTCTTCAACTGATTGAGAAGACATTGCTAATCAGTCCGACGATTTTACTACAGGTACGTCTGATGGGTTATTAGCATGGAGGACGGACTTCTGTGTAGAGTTGAAGCCATACATCTGTGAAAGAGGTGAGGAATAGAATGATTAACTCAATTTTTTTTTTAATTCGTAGTGATTCATTGTTACCAATTAAGAGTAGACATGCAACTGCCTGGAGACCACAACAGTTATTTTCCATTAACTCCCATGTCACGAATTTGTGTTGAACACATGTTAAGATCATTAAGCACACTGAATTTCACCAAATATAGTTACAAAATTAATGTACTTGTATATATCACATTTTTCTACCTCGGCGAACCTGACAGTATAATGAATATGAATGAATATGTATTCAAGCAACAGATGACAGTAAACAAATTAGACCTGGATTGCAAAATAACTTTTTAAGTGAACTATGAATATTGTACTAAAATACAACATGAAGTACGGTAAAAATGGCAGACATGGGTAACATGAGCTGTCGTGACCAGAAATATAACATTTTGTAATCTAAATCATAACAGCATGGTACAGGTTATTGATCTTAACTGTGTCTATTATGATCTTCTATTTTTATGACAGACCTTGATGTGGATGAATGTGCAAATGGCGTGGCAGTATGTGATAAGAACGCCTACTGTGTGAACACACCGGGATCCTACAGATGTATCTGCAACAATGGATTCACCTGGGACGAGACCTTCCAGATATGCCAGAGTGAGTTTAAAGCCCATATTTCACCTCCGTCATTTGTTTGACGATGTATCGTTAAAGTTTGTTACGTACATATCACAACGGTACCTTCACAGAACAGTAATCTCAGTGTGATATCATATTAATCGATGTCGGTTATGAACTCCCTCCTGATTATGACGCAAAATACGACCAGCATATATATTGTGCTTTTGAACATTTATAACAACACAATTATCACATAGCGATAAAATGATTATTCGAAACATGACATTGTAACTAAACAGGATCTTAATCAATGACATCATCTCTGTTTCTTTTTTTGTTTGTGTGTTTTTTTGTAAATTTTGTCTTTATTCCCTCTGATACTTTGGCTAAAGCAGCTCTAACATCTTTCAGGTGTTGGAATATCAGAAATATTATGACATTAGCAAGCAGAGCATCCCTTTCATTATATGTAGCTTTAGAGCAATGTATAATATACTATGATCAGAGGCCATGCCCAGGCGATGAGATGTTCCAGATTGAATTGTTGTAACTTGAATTACATCATGAGGATAACATCTGTATTTTCACTGATTCATCAGAATATGGACGTTGCCATGGCAATGGGGATCCTCATTACCATACGTTTGACGGCAAGACGATCGACTTCATGGGTGTCTGTACGTACACCCTGTCCGAGGTCATTGAGGACAGTGGTGTCACCCCGTTCATCATCAGGGCCAAACAAGGCCGAAGGGACGGGAACACGGCAGTTTCCTTCATCGATACACTGACCATACAAATCTACAGCGACGAGATTATCTTCCAACGAAGAGGCGGAGTCTACGTAAGTAATTTGTGGACGTACCATTTTTAACATAAATTGTGTGTGTGTGTGGGGGGGGGGTCCTTGACTAATCTTCATTGCTCTGATGCCCCACATTGTAACACGCAATGTATAAGCCGTAATGCACACAAAAATCAGCTAACAGCACCATTATCCAATAGTATCCGTTAACTCCTCATACGACGATCTATGGTGAAAGTGGCAGCGCCATTATATACATACCTCCCTTGGTAGGTGTTTCCGGACATAACGATCATACACTACTGTACATAAACAGCGTTATCATCCATGGTATTAGACACGTCACAAAATTATGTTTTTCACCAGTTATGACATAACAATCAATTACAGGTGAACGGGCCACCAGTGACTGTACCGGTAACACTGAGCTCAGGGGTACAAATCTTTAGGCAAGGTCTCCACCTCACCATGTCAACCCCCTTCGGACTTCAAGCTGGATACGACGGAAAAGACAATGCATTCATTGTCCTCCCTGCACCGTATATGGGCAAGGTAAATATTAACCACATTCTTCATTATTCAGACTGGTAGTTTTTCCAATGTTGTGCAAGAAGTGACAGTCGTGGATAATATGTAGATATGTATTCACTGATGTTATGTATTTTTTTAATCTCATAGGTCAGGGGTATATGTGGCAATTTCAACCTTAACAAGCTTGATGACTGTACAAAGGCAGATGGTACGGTTGCTACGAGTCATAGTGAGCTGGGAGACAGTTTTCTGGTTGGCCAGTCAGACAGGTAACAATGGTCTATCTATCTAGTAATGTAATATCTATTTAGCTATCTCTTCCTTCCTTCCCCTGTCTTGCCCAACAAAGCCCAGAGTACATGTACGTATAGGTTGTTTGAAGGATCAATTTTTGAAGTGGAAGAAAATTACAATAAAAAATATTTTTGATAAGATAATTCAAGTTTTGGTGCAAAAATGTTAAATAATACCCCTTTAATGCTGCCTTGTTTCTCTACCCATCCTGTGTTAGCTGTGTGACGGATGTAGACGACCCCCGAGCCAACTGTGACATGCCCTTGATGACGTACCTGTGTTCAGCACTGACGAATACATCCGGGGCCTTTGCGCCCTGCCATGACATCGTGGACCCCCAGCCCTTCTTTGAAAACTGCGTGTATGACCTGTGCGCCTACGATGGGGACACCAAATGGCTGTGTAATACTGCCAAAGCGTACGCGGATGCGTGCCTGGACGCTGGAGTAGCGATCTGTGACTGGCGCAGTCATTCCTTCTGTAGTAAGTTTGGGACTAATAGAAAAAGTTGAATACAATGCTAGGTCACATTTCCAAGCCAGGGTCCAGCCGGGCAGTTTGTGGGAATGACAAGAATGATTTAAAAGACGTCAAAACACACAAAAAGTTTCATAATAAAATATAATAAGCATTTTGAATTTTTTTTTGTTCATTCAAATAGCCCGGCCGGGTCCCGGCTTAGAATTGTGACTCCAGCATATCGTAATCGTTTCTGTCTACATGGTATTTGACGTCGGGCATGCACTATCATAACATCCTAACAAACTTAGAATATAATACTCCTATACCTGTAGCTATCAGAGTCTAATACTACTTGAATCTCCATTTGTAGGAAAGAAGTGCACAGAGAATGCACACTACACAGGCTGTGGCGGGGGCTGCCCGGCCACGTGTTCTGACCCGTCTGCCCCAGAAACCTGCGGCATAGTTGCAGAAGGCTGCGTCTGTGACGAGGGGTACTACTTCAGTGACAACATCTGTGTTCCGCTGGAGCAGTGTGGCTGCACGGATTCAAGCGGCTATCACCAAGTGAGTCACACAAAATGAAGTTTCAACTTTTTGCCAATAGAAGAGCTTCTTGATTATTGCTTCACTTATTATAAATGTTACATTACATAGATGAGGGCTATTGTAACAGAGGATGTTGAAGGCAAAAGAAATTTCAGGGGGGCAAAACGAAAATATTCTGGATGAAGAAATCTGCCATTCCTTACCACATTTGATACTTGAAGCATTTGAAGTAGGATGAAAACACGCCAAGCTAAGTATCATAATGTGAGGCATATCTTTATTTTTTTGGGTACCGCCAATAAATTACTAGCCTACAACAGTTACTATAGAAAACAAGCAACCACTTTCTGCCAATGACATCGCATATTTGCCCCACAGACATCAGTATACCATGGGGTAGGATTGATTCAACTTACTGTACCTGGGTACAAAAGGGTAATGAATATGATTTTATGTACCATATGGATGATGTCATCATATTTTATTCCCCCAAATGTAATTATCTTTAAAGTTAGAATATAGCACTTTGGTACAAGTAACTGAAATAAAAGTATGATTTTCATGTGCATAATGGTCAAAGCTACAAACGTACGTTTGCACAAATTGATATCTACTAATTATCCGTAGTTATTAGAGAAAAACCTAATTGCCTAATTAAAATCTTGTTATTCTCTAATAACTACAGGTAATTAGTAGATATCAATTTGTGCAAACGTACGTTTGTAGCTTTGACCATTATGCACATGAAAATCAAATTTTTATTTCAGTTATTTGCACCAAAGTGCTATATTATAACTTTCAAAATCATTACATTTGGGGCAATAAAATGTGATGACGTCATCCATATGCTCCATAAAATCATATTCATAACCCTTTTGTACCCAGGTATCAATATTCAGTACAACTACAGTTCTTTCTAAATTTCTTTGTGAGAAAACGATGAAAACTTAAATGCCATATTAGCCAGGGAGGACACCTTAAGAGAATCACCAGAAACTTTCCTTTAAAAATCCAGCTTTGCCTTGAGATTGCATTGGGTGCCTGTAACGAATGCACCGAGTACAAGAAATGTTTTGATGAATATTTTCTTCCCACACATCCCCAAGGTTGGTACGAGGTGGGTGGTTGGTGCGTGTTCACAAGGCTGTAGCTGTGACACGCCCAACTCACCTCCCACCTGTGTGGACTGGGACGGATGTGCAGATGTGGGAGGGGTATGTAGGCTCCAGGCAGATGGAATACCGGGCTGCCAATGCATTCCTCCTTACACCGGCGACGGAGTAACTTGCAATCGTAAGTATCTTCTGTTTATTTATTCACACATATAGTGTACAGTCACATAGTAATCAAAGAATGAAAGGGAAGAAAGGAAAGTGTGCAGGAACAACTATATAATCATGAAAATATTGTATTGATTAGAAACAATAAACTTTCTTATTATTGCAAAGAAAACTAAATATGTTTGTTTTTCATTCCTCGGCCTACCGATATTTGATGTTTTCATAAGATCATGTCATAATCATTATGATAACAATGATTATCGTAATAAAAATATGATTATGATGACTCACGAAGTGCAGATATTGTTGGTAAATATGTTTTTGTGGGATATGTACATGTAAACTATTCTACTTGATTTCATCGCTTAGTCCACTGATCAAATACAATTCAAAACTGAAGGGGAAGAGCATTAAAAAGACACAAATATCTTCATAGCACCACCATGTGACGAGTATTGGACTCTGTACAATGACAACTGCTACCGGTACAACACCCATCGTTATGACTACAACCAGGCTAAGCAAATCTGTAGTGACTGGGGAGGTCTCCTGTGTATGCCCAAGAGTCAGGCTGACCAAGACTTCCTCATGGACCTTGTCAGGGTGAGTTTTGAGTAACTGTAACGCAAACCATCTCTTGCATATACATTTCGTTGCATTTTGCAAGAAATTGTGACAATTTAATTTAAAGTATACTTGTAATGTTATGTTACCGGTACACACTAAATGCTCACAGCCTCTTCTACAATATGTAAAACGGCCCGTCAGTAGCTCTGCAAAAGCAATCCTCCATTTCTCCAAACTTGCCCATACATTTTTAGCCACGGTGTTTTTAACAATCGCACGGCTGCCTGAAAACGCTGCTACAGATTTTTGCTTCAGAAGCTTATGTTTTAACTTTCGAGACTTCCAACTCATATAACGCTATAAGAAGACAATTCTGTATTGATTACAAAACACATAGGACACTGTGGACCAAACAGCATACATTGGAGTGACTGATATAGACACCGAGAATGTGTGGATGTACGAAGACGGGACTCAAGTGGGAGCATTTACGTATTGGACTCCGGATCCGGAAAAGTAAGATGGTCTTTCCTAAAGAATAATAATTATTCTAAGGACTGATTCTTTCTTATTATTGTATTAAATGAATTTAGATGATTCAGCCTTGACAATTAAAATGCAGATGTACACGGATATAGTACCAGTCTGTGACATAGGGAATTATCCAATGATATGTTTGTTTGTTTGTTTGCTTGTTTGTTCAAGCCTTTGTATGTCATAAAGAACTCATATGAGGTCATAATAATGAATAATAATAGTCATGAAGAAGATATAATGAATATTCATGTTCTATCTACAGGTATAACACTGACAGGAAGGACTGTACAACTCTGCGTAAGGCCCATAACTACCACTGGTTCTCTGACAAGTGCTACCAGACTGCAGCCCCATGCTGCCAGAAACCAAGGAACTAGGTCAGTCTTTCATGTCACATCAGCAAATCTCTCTCTCTCTCTCTCTTCCTCTCTCTCTCTCTCTCTCTCTCTCTCTCTCTCTCTCTCTCTCTCTCTCTCTCTCCCCCCTCCCTCTCTCTCACACTCACACACACACACACACACACACACACACACACACACAAACAACTTCTTTCTCGTTTCTTTCCTTCCATTAGTATGTTTCACTGATAAACATAAGTACATGTGAAGACCACTTGACTCCTCTTTACTGTACTGTCCCTATGTGTAAGCATTACAATGGTACACAGTCAATGTTTTAGCATATACAAGCAACGACAAGTTCACAACCTCATGTGACAGTGTATATTTTTCAGTACTCATTAATGACACAGCTTTCTTTTTACTTTTGCATTAGGCTGTTGAAGAATGAAAGCGGATCGGATGGAAACAACAGTAATGTAGAATAAAGCTATAATGATTATTACTTTGATAAGTACATGACTACAGCAAATGATGATATAATTCGAAGTGGCGATTTTAAGAATTTCAACTTGTATGTTATGGTAACATTAGTCCATTCATCCAAATTCCTGATACATCACATTGTAAGATAGATAACTTCAGTTTAATGCAAAAACACAAATTATCAGAAATCATTCTATCAGTCATATTGCCACTTTTGTCCGGACAAATTTTAACTGCCATAGTACGAAATTTAAAAGAAAGAAAACAGCTACCCTTATCCCCTGATGATTAATTGCTAAAACAGCTTTAAAAATCAGTTTTGCAATCTTTGATGATTCAAAACAAAACACAAATGATCAAAACCATATTATCCATCATATAAATCGTGACTGTCATAGTACAGAAATCCAGAACCTAAATAGTAAAACAAGCTTCACGCTGTTTAGATTTCTCCTTATCCCCTGATATTGATACTTAATGGCTATAGCAGTTGTAACAGCTTTCTATTGGTGAAATATCACAACATTATGATATCAACAATATTATCGCAAGCAATATATCCCTTCATTATGTAGCTTTAGGCCAGAAAGCCATAAGTCACGAAAACTATAATATAAGATAGTTCTGCTCTGTCTCTACAAGTTTAATATATATTGTAGCATCACCTGTAGTAGACATACCTACCAGCCTTCTATATACATGTATACGTATGCGTTAATAGTTTGAGAAACCGTCACTGGCTATGAATGGCTTTGAAATTATATATATAATAATAATGATTATCTGCAATACAGTGAAAGTATTAGATAGTATAATTTTTTCATTAGTTTATGAATGGATATAATTCTCCTTCATACATGCAACTCATAGAGCATCTGTATCAATAACATTAACATAGAAGCTATATTATAATATATTTCTATATCTTGTTTCCCCTTGCTTACAGCTTGACTATGATGACATGATACATTGACGTACAGCTGGTTGTACATTTAGACAACTTGCGACTAAAATTTTGACAAATACAAGCAACTTACTGACAAACGCAAAGGTTATAAGGACATTTAGATGTAGAATAATAATTCTGACAATTGTTATTTTGTTGGTAGTTGAGTACTCTCTTGTGCATGTGCATGTGACGATTAGGAAAATGCTAAAGCAGTTCTTTGGAAATAAAAAATGGTGTAACATACCGTTGGTGATAGTTTGTTCTTGTGTTGCGTCCTTTCCATTGTCAGTACAATGAGAGCATGTGTGTGTGTGACTGTGTACATAACATTTGTTACTTTGGTTCACCTTCATTCTGTTACATGTAACGATTCGGAGAAAGAAATGATACACATGCCACTCCTAATTCCTATCAAGACCTATGTCCATCAACAAAATCTGCAAGACTACATTACTCAATCATGTACATTGCATCGATGACGGTTAGACATCCAGGTAATACGATACGCCAAAAAGCAGTACAACTGGATATGATTTTGGAAACGGTCAGACGTTTCAGCAAGTAATTTAACCACTAGCTTTCTCAGTCACTGATGAAAGCTAGTGGATACTAGCTGAAACGTCTGACCGTTTCCAAAATCATATCCAGTTGCTTGAGTAGCTGCTTTTACATTGCAGTAGATTCAGAGAGCCAGCCCAGTACTGTAACAACGTTTTGCTCATATTTGATATATAGTTTGTACTTGCGTACAGGGTCATCAAACTACGTGTACTCCATAGCAACTGATTCACTTTCCTAATAAAACTTACCACGGAGATTTGATAAACGTAGCTGCGTGCAAATTGTGGTGACAATTAGCCTGAGACTGACTGAAAATCAAAAGATCATCAGTGTGGCGTCGATGGTATCATGGAGGTAGAAAAAGATGATGGTATATAAGGTAGCTAAGATCAAGCAAAGAAAATCTCCAAACAAGTCTAAATATATGATCTTGACCAGAATGTAGGCTGTAAGCCTTAGCGATTTCTGAGAAACAATTACTAGTAGTACATTCGATAAGTGTCCAAGTGGTGCGACCAGTTTGTGACCCTGGTAAAAGTTGCGAGGCCATTCAAAGGCTGTAATTGTTGTGACAATCTGTTCACAATATCTTATATATGATTTATATAGTGTAGATTTATGTTGCTTCAAGCCAAACAAAGAACTTGGTAAAACACCAGCGATCACCTTTGTACAGGTAGGTACCTAAAATCTATCATTCTACGGCGTGGGAAAGTAGATTGACCTTTACCGAACTGGGGCCAGAAACAATTACGCCACGCTATCGGAAGGGTTACTTTAGTTTCATATAATCATTGACAATTTTGATATCGAGCTGTGAGTCACCTTTACCGTATTGGGGTCAGATTGACCTTAATCTTAAAACTGTGTCGTTTTACATGTATATTATCGTTGTACCGTACTGAGGCCAGATTGATCTGAGATGTGGAATTCCAAATTCGACCTGTAGGTCAACAAGTTCAAAACGACGGCGCTTTGATGGTAATACTATGTGGGAGTTGCAGGCATGTCGGTTGGAAGTTACAGGCATCACGACTCCCACGGTTAAGCTCTTAAAATCCGTTAATGGGGTGATTTTCTATCAAGGTGACGATTCCATATTGAGGGATCGGAACCATCGCCACGTGTCCAGGCGGCGCTTCATAGGACCGATCTGATACTCAGGTTATCGTCAACAGGACACCTGCGTTTACTCTTAGAAGGTCATGAGTGTTAATTAATTCTTTATTGACTTTATTGACAACAAAAAGTACAGGGACCTTTGTATGGTCTTCTACAATGAAAGATCTAACAAAGTTAAATACATGTATGGATGACTCCATTATACGTACAGAATATATGTATGTGGCAAATTACGTACAGAATATATATCGGTGATAATGTAAATATGTGAGGAAACTTCTACACTAGCCTGTTTAAACGTATCAGAGTAAGTCATCAATAATATACGTCGATGAAGGTTAGACATCCAGGTTATAACATACGCCAAAACACTAACTCAAGCAACTTCCAAAACCATATCCAGTTGCTTGAGTAACTGCTTTTTGGCGCATCAATAATACGACATGTAAAATGACACAGTTTTAAGATAGGCCAAAGAAAAATCTTAAAAAAAAAACAAGTCTAAATGACATTAAGACATGTATGTGTTGGCCTTAGCGATTTCTGACGAGAAACATTTAGTAAAGATTAGTGCCCAAAGTGGTGTGACCGGTTTGTGACGCCGGTGAAAGTTGCCATGTCATTCTGGCTGGGGACAGAGAAGACGACAGCTGACAAAGGTTATACAATCAGCTACATGCGAAATACTCAACTTTAAAGCCGAAGAATATCCGTCCGGCTCTCTGCTCTGGAATCTGGTAAGCCTTTAGCACAGTAGTTGATGGGAACACATCGTATGGGATGCAAATGTACGTAGAGTTTCAAGTTTGAGATAATCGAGTGGAACATTCCATGTAGTAAATACCAACAATGAGGCCATGCATATAACCTTGTTGGAGTTAAAAGTAAAAACTGCAATGTGGAAATATCTACCTTAATATATATCTAAACATATTACAGGTAATCATAACTGAAATTCTGAAACGGTTTAATTATGAAATGTTGTAAAAAAAAAAGAAAGATACCCGACCAAAAATTCGAAAAAGTAATTCTGAAGGTCGTATTTCACAGTTTACTACATATACACAGTAGAATATGCAACACATGCGGACGCCTACAGTAGGCTACATCTTAATGCGGATTACTGTAGCTAAGTACTCTTTCTTGGAGCTTGTTACCAGACATTGCCTCTATTTACAATATACAGTTTATTTTTTCATATATATAACCTTTTTCATAAATATGGACTTACGCTGCAGGACCAATTTTTGTCAATCATCAGTCATCGACTTGACTGCATCATTTGACTTGCATTTTTCCGGTGTTCGCCGGTTCGATTAGACTGTTAAGATGTTGCTGGTGCATGTATACCTTCATTCTGGGTTCCTCCTCACAGCTGGAGAGAGTTGCACTTGAACCATGGGGAAGATACCTGTCACGTTTGCCGTCCTTTTGGGGATGGTAAATGGGTGAGTTAACAGAATTCAACCTACAACTTTTTAAACTCAATTTGCTAGGTCTTTATTTTAATACGAGAGCATGTCACAACTGTTTTTCACTGCTTCGGTACGGATACGTTTTGCCTTGTGCCATCCGACTTGTTACGGATTCTTTACACTCGCGAAATTGGTTGGAATCCATGTTTTGACAGAACACCTTTTCTGTGCCCCACAACATGAAACCCCTCGAGCTACACGTTTTTCAAAACAATAGATTTGAGGACCTAGCAAACCAGTCACCTCAATCATATGGAAACGCATTCTGTTTAATTTATTTATCAGTGACATCATAGCCGAGTTTAATGATCCTTGTTGTGACTCTCCTAGTCTTTACAATAAGAAAGTTCCTTGTCTTTTGTATGCGGACGACCTTGTGTTATTCTCCGAATCTCAGCAAGGCTTACAGTCATGTTTAGATAAATTAGAGAAATATTGTAAACATTGGAATTTGAAGGTGAATTTAAAAAAGACAAAGATAATTACCTTTACTAAGGGAGGTAGACTACCTAAGAATTGTTACTTTTTGTTTAATAATAACGTAATAGAAATTGTAACATCATATTGTTATCTAGGTATAGTGGTAAGCGCAGCTGGTACGTTCAAAGCCAACAACAAACATCTAAGCAACAAGGGTCTAAAATCCCTGTTCAGCATCAGACAATCCCTTAGCAATGCAGACGCCTCATTATCCATTAAGAACAAGCTCTTTGACTCCTGTATTAAACCTATCCTACTGTGCGGGTCTGAAATATGGGGTTCTTATAAAAGCCAAAAATTTTGTCCTATTGAATCTGTACATCTAAAATTTTGCAAACATTCACTGAATATACCAAAAACAGCTAGTAATTTTGCAGCACGGGCAGAACTAGGGAGGTACCCCATCCACTTGGAGGCCTCCCTGAACGCTATCAAGTATTTTATTCGACTCCACAAGAACGCACCAGCTGACTCCCTTCAAGCAGACGCCCTCCTATGTCAAATAGACCTAGAAGCTTCAGGTACTAAATGCTGGGCGTCTGGCGTACGTAGTGCTCTAGAGGAATGTGGTTATGCTTTCGTCTGGCAAAATCCCCAATCAATTTTTTCGAACACGTCCCCTACCATTTCATCAATTTTCCAACGATTAAAAGACAGTTATTTTCAAACATTCCTATCCGAAATTCACAACGATAGCAAAGCTGTGAATGCAAAGAACAAACTACGTCTATACAGATTATTAAAGCTTTCCTACAACGAAGAAAAATATCTCAACTTAGCGAACATACGTCACAGGTCCTCCATTACAAAACTAAGAATCAGTTGTCACAAATTACGAATCGAATCAGGAAGACATAACCGCACTCCTCTAGAACAAAGAACCTGTCAATTCTGCAGTTTAGGCCGATTAGAAGATGAAATACATTTCACCATAGATTGCCCCTTGTATAGTAGAGATAGACTCATATTTTTTAGCCATGTATTAAGTATATTTCCCCACTTTAGTTATTTGACTAGTAAAGAGAAATTTGTATTCCTTTTAACTTTTGATAAACCTACTCTAAGTAATCTCACAGCCGCATATATCCATGCAATCACTACCAAGCGAGATGAAGCCGAAAAGAATAGAAATTAGACATTTATTTACACTCTTATATGTTCATATATTTGTAATGTTTATGTTCATGTTCTGTACTCATGCGACCTGTACTTAGTTCTGTAGAACACAAATGTACAATAAAGGTCTTCATTCATTCATACACGCACATGCACATCTTTTTACCTCACCACACAAGGTATAATGCTGTCGAGGTCACATTTCCAAATCGGGCCCCGTCCGGCAGTCTTATGGAACGAAAAGTATGATATAAAAGACAACAAATCACAAAAGAAAGTTGAAAGAAACGATAATGGGAATTATTTGTGTATATTCTTAATATGAATTGCTGATTTTCGTTGATCAAATGTGACCTCAGCATAAGCTAATTCAGTGACACACTTTCTTCTATCTCTCACCACTTCAGACTCTCAGCTCTGTCGTGTCTACAGTGTGGCACGTTCACCTGCCCTCCAGTACCCCGCTGTGCCGGGGACGTCACCAAGGATGCATGTCGCTGCTGTGACGTGTGTGCTAAAGTGAGTTAAACACGTTTGTAGTTTAGCCGCTCAGATAATTAACGCTGCGTATTAAGGGTGATGTATCAACGCGCTTTAATGCTATAAGGTCACAATTCACACACGGGGCCCGACCGGGCAGCTTTGGCAACGAACGTACGATATAAAAGACAATTTACCGAAAACACAGAAAAGTTTTTAATGATAATCATGAGCACTAAATTCTTTATATGAATTGTTAATTCTTGTTCATACAAAGAGCCCGGCCGGGCCCCGGTTTGAAAATGTGACCTACAGTAAGCATTAGTAGGGACGTTTGGTGTCAGTGTGATTTCCAAGGAACACAGAAGAAAAGCTGTTTAAAGATCTTAGCTCGCACAAATGTTGTTTGTAGATTGAAGGCCAGAGCTGTGGAGGTCCCTGGGACACCAGCGGCACGTGTTCCAGCGGACTGACGTGTGTAGTGGACCCAAACGACCCTCTGGGCGACCAGGCAACTGGATTGTGTGGTGGGCAAATTTTACAATTGATTCTAGAGTTATCAATTTCGCCAGTGTCAAAATACAAACAAGAAACTTAGATATATATCAAACTTTGTAATCTTATCTTGAAAGTTTCGGTAGAATTCGTTGTAACGCAATTTCCAAAGTAAATTCCAACACCTTTCTTAAGTATTTAGATTGTGTGTATGGGTTCCTAAGTCGATCCGACATGAATAGTAGGGAGCTGAAAACAGGAAATGTGGTAACCTTTGTTCCATTCACTTCCTCCCAGACCATTTAGACCAATAACTTTTTGTCAATCTGTGGTTACTAACTTTCACTCTCCATTCCCGTCACTCTACTGCATTCAAATGCCCACGAACACACAAGTAAACACACACGTACATATGTACCGATAAGAATAGCTCCATCTCCGTACATTGAGGTACTAGCAATAAAATTGTGTAAAATTATTACGATTCGTCGTCACTATTATGATTAATACCTGATAAACATGCATGTATATATAGTTTAAATGCGAAATTATAATTTCTCATTAGTCGTTGGAAGTTCACTGACCTTTTGATAGTACTCTACCTGATCCTCATTATTCGATCTTATCCCTAGCATGCCCTGCACACAGTAGTTGGGACAGGTGTGGCTCGGCGTGCCCGACAACGTGTGACAGTCTCGGGACGAACGTCATCTGTCCGGCGGTCTGTGTCCCCGGCTGCGCCTGTGATGGTGGGAACGTGCTGAACAACGGCAGCTGTATCCCGGAGGAACAATGTAGGCGGACAGGTCTGTCTCATGTTGTGGTCTAATGGCATGCCCTTTTCCGATCTTTTCCGTAGAGCGTAATCGGCCGTTTCAATTCTACCTAGTGTAGATGGGTCGCTCTAATTTAACGTAGAACGTGATAGGCGCATTTTGCGTACGCCGTTTTAATTTACGTAATACGTTGTAGCCACTTGGAATATATTGTAAAGCGTAATCGAGAGGTTTCCTGAATTCAGCGTAATAGGTAGCCAGCTCTCAAAATTTAGCGTATAGCGTAGTCGGGACCCTGGTCAGTAGCCTGGGTGCCATCCGATTTGTCGGGATAGCACTCAGGCTAGGCCAGGCTAGGCAGTCAGTGTTCCGACCGTTCAAACTCAAATGCTTAGAACCTAGAGGCGCATGACTGATTTACAGGAATGTTTTGTGAACGCGCCTATAATGTCCATCAAAGCCGATCAATATATATAGATCGCCTTGTCTCAGGGACGTGCCGTCACGGTTCTACTTGCTTGAGGACCACTGACGTTTAAAAGATCAAACAACATCTAGATATTTATGCAGGTATAGCATTTTGCTCGAAACCGCACTGATACAAACTGTTGGTGTCGTAGGTGAAATACGTGATTATATTGGTTAATATATGGAGATATAGACACCAATTATAAGCGACTCACATCAACTACTCCTTGATCCTTCAACTGTATTGTCAACTGGTTCTTATTAACTTATACATATCCGTAGAATGTCCTCCACATAGCACCTGGGACAACTGTGGCTCGGCGTGCCCGACAACGTGTGACAGTCTCGGTACGAACGTCATCTGTCCGGAGGTCTGTGTCATGGGGTGTACATGTGATGACGGGTACGTGCTGAACAACGGCAGATGTATCCCGGAGGAACAATGTGGGCGGACAGGTCTGTCTGAATCTTGTGGTCACTAGCTTGGTAGCTAGCGGTCAGTCTTCCGACCGTTCAAACTCAAATGAGTAGAACCTAAAGGGGCACTACTGATGTACTAGCCTGGTTACCAAACGTTCTTTTAATTAGCTACCAAAGCTCTTTCCTCTACCGCAGAGGAAAGAGCTTCGGTAGCTAAAATAGGTTTCATTGGTAACCTGGATATATACTAGTACATCACTGATGCTCAGCAGGACAGTTTTGTACAGCTAAAATGTTGATCAATAGGTCTAGGTCTCATGTATGTACAAAAAAAAAAAAAAACAACATCTAGATAGGCAGGTGTAACATCCCGCTCTAAACCACTGCCGCAAACGGTTCCGTACGTCAGATACGCGTGGTTATAATGACTTGTATTTTATTTATGTCATACCCACCCAAGAAAGACTGAAGGAATAACGTCACAACGTATAATAGTGACTCACGTCATCTGCTCCTTGATCCTTCAACTGTAGTGTCAACTGGTTCTTATTTACCGATCTTATATATCCCTAGAATGTCCTCCACATAGTACCTGGGACGACTGTGGCTTGGCGTGTCTGACTACATGTGATAATCTCGGCACGGACATCCTCTGCCCGAGGATCTGCATCGCCGGCTGCGCCTGTGATGGCGGGTACGTGCTGAACAACGGCAGCTGTATCCAGGAGGAACAATGCCCCAGCGACGGCTGTAACTATGAGGGCAATCATTATAATGTGAGCTAAGTGTATTTCACCCTGTTTTTCAAAATTTCACCTTAGATGAGTCATGTAGCTCAGTCATTTCTTTAAATGTGGGGAATAAAGCTTTGCTACCAAACTTTCTCACCAAAATCAGAAACCATAACAGTAATTTGCTGTCCCAGTGATGCTTTACCACCCTCCCCACTTGCTGTGGACTTGTCAATACAAAAATCATACCCCATTCTACTACTTCTCTCTCTAGTTAGCTCTCTGATGACCCTATCTTCCGGCAACTACCTTCGGCTCCTCTGCCTATAGTTAGACAGTGTTGATTTTTTAAAGAAAATGAAAAGACATCTTTACAAACAGCTAAATGGCACACGCACAGCGTTAGCACGTTTCCAGCTATCCAAGTTACCTTGGTACCAAATGTAGACTTAACATTCCGTAGGATGGAGACGAGTGGGCCGTACGGGAGTCTCCAGGTTTAGTCTGCCAGTGTGATGGCACGGAGGTGGTCTGCTATGTTGTTGACTGCGCTCCTGGCTACAACCACGTCATCGGTAGGAACGGACTGTGGACCTGCCAGCGTCAAAGTATGTACAGTCTTCCAACTTCTTCAGATTTCATGCAGGAATTTAGTTGTTTACACCAAGGTTCCAAGGATCAGTGTAACGAAAATGTTGAAAGACATGATTACATTCAGGTACTAAACATGTTTTGGCAATGCCATGGAAGTACGAGTATGAACATACTCGATACTTCGATAAAACGTCACCACCTTCCTTAGGTTTTATGCAGGAAGTTAGTTGTTTAGCCAAAAAAGACAAAGATTCTTGTAACGAAAAAGTTGAAATACATGGTTACATTGCACCAACACGAGACACTTGGTAACTCTATACTCTTCCAAGCCAGGCCAAGCAGAGGTTTAGGCTTTTGCTTAAACCTCTGCTTTGCTTTTTGTTTGGTGTGTTTTTAGGCATTTTTATCGGGCTCTCTTTACTCCTGGCCGCGCATACTGTCTTGGCAGCCACCGAAAGAACCAGAGATTTAACTCCATATAGAAATAGATATCACAGAAATGGCATTCCTCCTTATGATATCTGACGTCTTAGGTACAAATGATGCGCCATGATCACATGATGAAAACTCACGTTCTCAGCCCAATGCCCGGCGGGATATCGCTATGTCGTCCGGAGCAGACGCTGCTACAGGCTGGTGGACACCGGGGCCAGCTACCAGGACGCAGAGCGGCAGTGTTTCCAGGACGGCGCTCGGCTGGCCACTGTCAAGGCGAAACAGGCCTACAAGCACCTGAAGGTAAGCACCATACGTGTTTATCTGAGATCAAGATATAATTTCATGTTTGTTTGCTTGTTCCAAGGAGGTTAAATACAAGTATGAGCATTCAAATTATGTTTAAATCAAACCATCATTGGCGGTTCTCAGTAGCAACAGCTTGCCTTTAATACGACCAGGAGCAGGGAATCAGAGGTTTAAGACTTTCGTGAAGTATGCAATCCCCTGAATTCCTCCATGTTAAATGCTTAGAGAATGCTACTACTGATTCCTGCTTGCTCCGGGCAAGATTAATATGAGATCCGTTACCTGTGACCGACCTTTTGACCTGTCATTCTGCCTGTCATTCTCCCATATAGCTACACACTTGCTGTCAACCTACTCTTTCCTGACAAAAAGATTCACAAACCCACAACACAGACGCCCCAAACAATATTTCCGTGCACGGAAGTAATTATGGAAAACAACATGATCTTGTCCTTCTGACGGTTATGTTGTGAACTTGTCCACAGAGCGCGGCTCGTCAAGCTCGGTCTGACGTGTGGATCGGACTGAGTGACAGGGTGACCGAGGGGACGTTGACCTGGAGCGACGGTGACCCCTACAGGAAGAGCAAGCGCAACAACTTCTGGGCCAAGCGAGCATTGCGGCAGAACAACGCGGAAAGGGACTGTGTCTACATGAGCGCAAGTAGGAGGGATAACTACCGCTGGCGCCTTGGCAACTGTGACGATGAGCGTCTGTTTGTCTGCGAGTTTGTGCTGGGTTAAAGAGATCCAGACCTGTAGATAGATATGTAGGTAGAGACGTAGCACAGAAATGTAACACTTGTTTCTTCTATACTTATACCCAAGTTATCTTAGTGCATTTGGCCCATGTAGGGCGTGAATATGCAATTAAGTTCATTGTCATTGTTAAAAGTGCTGTAGTGCTTCTTTGGTCGACATCACTTCCATTGGCAGTAATCTTGAGTTAGGCTATATAGCTATGCCATGTAAACTCGTCATGTGCATTTGCTTCGATCCAGCAGTCCATGTAACGTTACCATACACAATGTTATATTCACCACTATCTTCAGTTATGTGCATTGGATTACTGTAGCTGTCTTGTGAATTTGTTTGGCGAATGTGACTTTATACTAGCATATCATGCATATTGTCAAGACGTCGACATTTAAAACAGTTAAGTTGATATAGTATGAAAAACGTCGGTGATAGAGTCTCTTTATGCCTACAACTTTGTTACATCAGTAAAAGCTTGTACGACGATGAAGTTCTACATCAACCGTTATGCCTTTTTGTCTTATATGCTATTGATCTTTGCCCAATGATCGGGACTTTCTTCACATATGTATTACGAAGGCAAACAAGACTTTGTATCTTGAAATAATCACTTGGAATTTTAGAGTTGTATTAGTTGTAATTTTCTTATTGACAATATGCGGTGACTTTATCAATACACGGCTTGCACAAACCGGCGGCGGGTCTCTGGTATTAATTGAATCAATGAATACACGCTTTATAAAACTTACAGTTCCCATTCACTGGAATCTCTGCATTCGGAGACATGGGACTACCAAATGTCACGGAGTATCCGGTATTAGGAAGTCGGTAATAGGTCTCAATTGTCGGTAATAGGTCTCAATTGTTAGTTATCATGAGTACAAGATAACCACAATGGACGTACGTCATTGTGGAAATTCTTCCATTCAGCTGGCCTGTTTTCAAAGTCAGCCGAAGGAAACTGACATAATCTCCAAACAGAGCAAGAGGACTTTATGGTAGCCGCCTGTATCCACGTGGGGCGAACGTTGGATACAGGCGGCAAAGGGATAGAGGCGGTCAACATAAAGTCCCCTTGCCCTACAGAATCTGCTTAGAGATTACCTTGACACGCATGGAAAGACACGTATTTGTGATTTGTGACATGCGTATCGGCGTGCCTCTCTCTTTCTGTGCTTGACAGGTACACAGCAAAGGTCTATTGGATAGCTAGAGATATAGAGCTAGATGTAGTTAAGTCTCCAGTGAAAATTTGAAATTGGTCGCAGTCCGCATTGTTATTCGTTAATGCGATTTTCGGCTAAGTCTGTCAGAAATATGTGCTTCAAACCCGTGACGTCGTTTCACCAGACATTTAATTCCGTATGACAAAACACACACGGTTAAACCTCGTATAAAATCTAGGCCGTATTCTATTTGTTTTTGCACTGTCCGACCTTTGTTATTGACTGTGTCACACTAGGCCTTTACAGGTCAACGTTCTCAGCTATTAAAGTCTACGAAAACATTATGCAAATGCACCAAGCCCGTGATGTCGTATCACCATACATTTAATTCGGTATAACAAAGCAAACAGAATGCATGGTTACTGATTAATCGGACAGAAAACAGAACCCATAGTTTCTGGCAATCCAACAGCCGGTCAAGCGAGTTGGGCTAGCTATTTCTAGCACGGAAGTGAACATCCTGGGGTCAGAATCACGTGAGGAGAACAGGTCAACTTCCCCAAACCAGCGTCAAAACACCTTCAGTCTCAGGGCGTACACGGAAGTCAGACGACAGGGAGACATGTAAGTTCACAACTGTTGATCTTGCTTCGTGGGTTATGAGTCGGTCAATCTAGACACTGAGAATTCAGCAGCTCTGAGTGGGAAAACATATTTGGAAGAAACAATGACTAATTGTTAACCCCAATGTATTAAACTTTCATTCACTCGTAGCGTATGTATACGTTGTTGCTCTGTTGTGTAGTGAGAACACAACTCACGGCAAGACATTTCAAACCAGCATTTTGCATAGAAATCGGCAACTGGCCCTGGCCTAGATTGTTCTGCTTTGAGGTACTGATTACTAGGGTAGTTTATAATAAGCCACGAGGGCAACCAAAACACGTCTCTAATATACCAGGCGGGTGACATATAGCTCAATTATATGAGTTCTAAAGAGCTCTGTAGCAGTATGCTTACAAGAACTTTTCTTGGTAAGAAGTAGTAACAACCACCGTATATGTACACAGTTTCTATCCAGTACCATGCACAAAAATGCATGTGTCAGAAGGCTTATATAAAGATGACTACACCCTGACCAAGTGTTTATCTTAAACTACATGTACGTTGTTTGAGTGCCTTAACTTAACATGTGATCTTTCGGGTATGTATATAGTTCAATAGAGCGAGGACCTACACAGGGATAAGTTGCCAATATCATGGCTTTCCTAGTGGAACCATATGGCTTTGTATGGAGATTACCGAAACACAGAGAGGGGCTTTTTACTTGGGTTGCCATGATTTCTTTGAAAACCTTTCCAACCATTCTAGTTCGTGAAGCGGTGAGTTTGCAAATGTCACAACTTGACAAGGACAGACGACAACAGTTGTGATCCGGGCGTTAATACCAAAACCGCCCCACCTCACTTGGCAATAGTGTACAAAGTTCAACAGGTCGCAATTGAAGGGCATTAACATCAATAACTGACACCAACAGGGACGTCGATAAACTATGTCCATTGTTTACTTGCACTGCTGGCAAGACCTCTGAACCTACGAGGCAAATATTGATTAAAATACAGTAACTGACGTATGTATGTGTCGGACGTTATCATAGACCGATATAGGTGGAAATAGCTCAAAATATTCAATCACGGGAAGGCTTTGTGAACAGTACATGTATATGCTTTTAAATTTAAACCAAAAGGACGTCAATGATAAACAATCACTCAGCAGAGTTTCAACATTAGATGTGGAGTTTTGTGTTAATTCACGTGAGTGCATCAACAGGCTTATACTTGCAGACTCTTTATTGACTTGACAAAAGTACACTGGCACTTTCTTACAATTACGATCGAACAAATCTAAATACATATGTATGAATAAAGTCATCCTACTTATATGTATGCGGCATATTCCGTACAGAATATATATCAGCGGCAACATTAGAGGCTTAAGTATTCCCTAACATATGTCTCTAAGATGGTGTGTTACGCCAAAAGGCGGTTATACCGGCTATACAGATACAGATACAGATACAGAAGATAAAAACACTTTATTTCTGGACAACTTTTCAGGGCGTCCAGCGGCGAGCGAGCATCCAACAAGAAGATGGACAAGTTACAGTCTGAAGTAGACGAGGTTAGGTCCTGAGTTTCTCCTTCAGAACAATTCTCATTATCTTGCAACTTTAGATTATCTGACAACTTATGATGCTTTGCAGTGTTGGCGGTATCATTTAAGCCACTAATTTCGCAGTAATTCAGTTACAAGTAATTATTTACCTCAAAGAAAGGAAGGCGATTAATGTTTAGTGATTGTTATCATTAGTGGAATTCCCCTGGGCTATTTCTCTAGTGTACGCGTTTTGACTGAGATGAAACATCTGTGTAACATTACGCAAGACTCGTTCTGTACATTATGATAATATCGCTTGCTAGACGAAAGGTAGGTCGCCTGATGACGTAACGTCATGCTCAGTTTTGGAAGATGTAGAGACAACTACATGTAGAAGGGTTACATTTGCAAAGAAAATACATAATATTAACCTTCACACGGTCTAGCATACTGCTCTGGTCATTCTAACTCCAACCGGCATAGTATGTTTATGGTGATCAACCCCTCCAACTTGCTACATAATGTAAATCTTCGCTGTTAAAACTGCAAATCGCGTCCTTTATATTTAGGTCACAGACTTGCTGAAGGATAACGTTGACAAGATTCTACAGAGAGGAGAGAAGCTGGAGCGTTTGGAGGAAAGGTCCGGTAGGTGTCGCTTCAAACTACAAATGTACTCGACATTATTCAATGTTATAGACCTTACGAAAGTCGCTATACTTTTGTGTCAATAAAGTTCTCTCATATTGTAGTGGGGTGTTTCATCCTACTGGATTTTCTGTGGTAGGGTTTACTCCCTAGGGATGTCATTAGATGCTGATCATCTTGGGTGTAATAACAGTGTTTTCATTACATTACAGAGGATTTGAATGCAGAGGCAAACAGATTCAGAGTAGTATCTTCAAACCTCAAAAAGAAATACTGTTGGCAGAATTGCAAGGTCAGTTCATAATGGTGTGTAAATAATTATGAAAACAAGAGAAACAGATGCATTTAACATTAGAAAATATCTTACATGGACGATATACTTCAGCAGTTTTCTTATTTTGTAATTCAACAGAAATCGGAGACTTCAGACTTATTGGGAAGTATATGATTCTCCACTACCTGAATTCCTCCATGTTGATCTCTAAATAAAATTCCTGCTGGTTCCCAGCCCAACTCACCGGTAATCCTGCATATCAGTCTCCCCCACCCACATGCTGTCAACCTACTCTGTCTGGATAACAGAATACACAAACCCATGGTCACAGCTCAGCCACCCAAAAACAAAACGTCTATAACTGGATTATGACTAACTTTAAGTCATGTTAACGTTTATGTTACATTGTCTCTTGCATGTAGATGACATTGGTCCTGACAGGGGTAATACTGCTGTTACTTGTTGTTATCGCTGGGATTATAGGTGAGTTTTAACTTTCCTGTGGCTATTGCTGAAAATAATATCTCTATATAAATCTAAAACAAAAGTAGGATGTATTTCTTGATGACACCTTTCAGAAGAGTCCAGAAGTTGAAGTAGGTATTTCTATGGAAAGCAGCAAAATTATGAAAGTAATAGTTTGGATACGAAACCAGTGGTACATAAATATGTCTCTTCACACACTGTTCCATAATCAGTTGGCTTATCTATATTTTCATTTGAACTTCAATGTTATGGATGGAAGGATATAGTTATACCTTGGCTTTTGGCTCACAGAATGCATATTTACGCTTACTGCTGTTCATCACACTCTGGATGAATTGTTTTTGTGATTTTTCCAGTTGGAGTGGTGAAGCCTTGGGAAAGTGGTGGTTCTCACAATGGGACTGTAACACCTTAAGACAACAGGACAAAGTGTCTACTTCATATTGAATGTGTACATTAACATAAAAGAATGCATTAGTAATAGAAGTACAATGTATAAGCCAATACACCTGTAAAAAAAGATACTGGCTTGAAACTAAACTGCAAGAAAGTTAAATGAAGAAAAGGAGGTTTTAATTAAGGGATTAGTGTCAAATATGTAAGGTCATGTCAGTAGGTGCATAGTAAGGCCATGGAAGGTCCTGCTTCTGTGTTGCAAGTCACTTCATAGAATTAATGACTACAGCTTGGGTGACTGGGTGGCTAGGTGTTTTTAGTACATGTAAATAAAATGTTGCCTTGTTACAATGACACCTGTAATGTACATGTACCAGCCTCCTCTCTTTTTTCTCATGACCTCTTGCCTTATGACCTTGTTCTTGGAGTTGTCTTGTCCATTTTTGAAATCATCCCTTTTATACAAGCATCAATACAGGAATCAAATAACATTACTTTGCCTAGCATTATGTTGCCTGAACAATTGTCAAGAAACAAGATGTCTACTTGAGACATAAATGTACTAAATGTTGATGCCACCCATGTGGATGGCAACACAACACAAAATTGCCAGGGGGCTGGAGTTCTTGCTGCTAAAGACACAGCCAGCTGTCTACTTTATTGACATGCCATGTCACCAAAGGGCCCATCTTCATTGGAACACTAGTAAAACACACCATGCTCCTATTGGTCCTTTTGTTCGTAGGCTTCCATTGATTGGACGTTGGAGATTAACTACGGTGCCACAACTTCTGTGAAGAACGGCCCATATTGTCCTAGCAGTGTGAATTTTAACAGACTTTAGATAAATAGCAAGGACAATATATACAGAGTATGTAATGTCCTTGGTACATGTAATAGCAAACACAGCCAAGAAAAAACAGAAGACTCATGACTGTTGCTCAAACATGTTATGTTAGAAATAGTGAATAGAGAGTAACAAACAAATAAATTAGGTAAATGGACATACAACTTTACAGGTAAACAACCACCTACTCAGTTCAACAGTAAGTACATGTACAATACATACAGATTTTTATCAACATTTGTAATATAAAAAAAAGTGGAACCATGTTGAAAATGTTACACCAAAGAAAAGATCACTCAAACTCTCTATTTACACAAATTGTCAATGACATAAAGAATGCAGCATTTCAAATTCATTTCATTTCAACCTTCCAGACATACCAGGTCTCCAAATATACTATACATCAATCATTTCCTTCCCTACACTTGGTACCCAAAACACATGCACAAGCTACATATATTTGTTTCCTTTCCTACATTTTCAAGTTTACATAGTGTACATGTTGAGTTCCACAGTGGCTATCCTTGAAAAAAAATTACAGTAAAAAGTCGGCACATGTGCGTGTATATTTGTGACAAATTTGTTAAAGCCTGCCTGAAACTTGAAGCTGGATCCCTGAAGTACCTGGGCTCTTATCATGGTAACCTGATGTTAGCAAGCTTAAGTTTCCTTCTTTCAATATTATTCTTTTCCTGCAAACCAAGCAAGATCGTCTTCATAATATCATTAAGTCATCCACCTTTAAATATGCTTTACTTTTCCTCTTGTCTACATTACTGTTCTGGGTACAAGAATCAGTGCTACACTCAAACAATGAGCTCTTACCAGTATACATATACAACATTCTGTTTTCTACTTTTCTTTACAAGCCAGTATCATACCCAACACAGCTCATTACGGTTTCCTTAAACAAGTTCAAAAAAGATAACAAAAAATAAAGTACAAAGTTGAAAAGAAATGTGCTGAGAAAACATAGCCAATATCATACATCAAAACAGTAGTTGTACAAAATGTTTCCAAATACAAACATTGTTAGCTTCCTGCTCACTGCTAACCGACTATGGAGCCGTCTGGGTAGGCTGTACTGTCAGGCTGTTCCGGCATTTGGTCATCACCCCCCGAGGCTGAAGAGGGTTCTGCCTCTGCACTGGCTGTGCCGTCATCTGGTTGTACCCCTGTGACACTGATGGTTAAGTTTTGCTGCTCAGCTAACTGTAGATGGATACATAGCCATAAAGAATGTGAATCCAAAGGGATTGTAGTTACATGCATGGAATACAGTGAAAACTTTAAGGATACTGCCATTGTACATGTAAGGGCAATTCTCCTTGCAATACCCTAAATGGCACATGTGAGGAACTACCACAGCTGTAGAGACACAACCTAGGAGCAGTCTCATTATGCTGAGGGTAACTGTTGACCGTGTACAAGGTGAGATACAAGTTAGATACAAAGAAATTTAGGTACAGGTACAAGACCTGTACCTACATGTTCAATAAGGTAGGCTGATAACGTTTTCAACATACAACCTGCACCTTAAGTGTCAAAACTTTCATCTTTAAGATGAAAATTTACTTTATCTTAAATAAGTATAAAATGGTCCACTAGTACTTTGTTCCGTTCAGGTACTGGAACACCAGATGTTCAGATCTGTGCCTGTACCAAGATAATTTTACAGGTACAGGTGATAGGTACACAACCCTTGTTACACATGTATGTGTGTCCTATCTGAACTGACCTGCAGCAGGGTTGCCTGTGCACTCTCCACAGCTATCCTGGACCCGTCCTCCATCTGTGTCAGGCCCTGGTCAGCCTCCTGAGAGTCCGGCTGCTGGCTGATGTCCGCACTGCTGCTGATGGCCTCGCTGCTGGACTGGCTGGACGAGGCTGCGGAGGCGGCTGCAGCACTGGCCGCAGCCTCTTCTGCAGCAGCCTGCAGGGAACAATAACAGGAGCTTATAGTTATCTGGTGTTGGGAATATACTACAGAATAGAAATAACACTAACGAAGACATGTCTGTTCTTTTTGAAAAGAACATTGCTTTTTTCCGAAACTTAATTAAAGAGTTGCATCACCATTTCAGTCGTAATGCCGTGTATGTCAGAACTTATAGCGTCAAACCTCTGCACACAAAAGGATCCAATACACTTATTCAGAGCAGGGGTAATCATGACCTGGATGTGCATGGCTAAATATGCAAACTGTTGTGAAGTCGCATTGCACTTGTAGCTACTAGAAAAAGCATCATTCTTTGCCTCATGTGAGGATGACAAAATTAATACACATGGCACAACAAGCAGGCTACCAACCAGTCCCATCCAAAACTCACAAGACTTCATCAAAGATGTAACTGACCTGCATGGCTGCCAGTGCTGACCCGGGCTCTGCTGTGATGGAAGCTGCCTCGCTGGCCGTAACCATGGCAATCTGCTGTCCATCTTGTGTTACCATGGTAACCGGAGCGGCATCTCCTGTTGTAGTAGTCACACCTTCCACCTGTCGACAACGGCCATTCAACAAGTTTTAACAGGATGCATTGCATTCATTAAGTGATGACAATGTAACAGTCAATGGCCACATAGTAGTCATACAAGGTCAAGAAAGACATATACATGTACACAGTAAATTTACAGTGAAGAGGTCATAGCAAATACATGTAATACCATTGCAGTTTCATGATTTACAGTAATCATGTAAGTGTCAAGTAAG